AAACAGTTTTATTCATTGCTTTTACTCTCTCATATTCTTATCTTTGCTCGAGAAACATTATTATCAATGTGCAAAAAGCAACAGTATATAGGTCAGATTCATTCGAATTTCCAATTCTCATCAGTGTAAAATGAGCAAATTTCAAATATTAAACCGTAATGTGAATAAACTTTTGCATGGGAAGCAGGTATATTGAATAAATAATTTTTAATGAAATTGAGGCATATTTCTGTAACTCTAAACTTTAGTTTTTTCGATCATCATCGTTCGATCATAAAGCAACAAAAACGTTTTTTTCCGAACACTTAAGTTTTCCATTTTTACAATATAAAGATCATATTTATGTGGATCGTGCAGAAAAACAATTCATCTATGATAAAAATGGTACCAAATATCTCGACTTTTTCGCAGGAATCGGTAAGTTAACTGTTTTACTGGAAATACATGAAAGAAATAACTAAGTTTCACTTTCAGTCACTGTCGGAGTGGGACACTGTCACCCACGATTGATTGAGGCAGCAAATGAACAAATGAAAAAATATTGGCATTTATCAACGTTTTACATGCAAGACGCGACTAAAGATTTTGCGCAGAAATTATTGAAACATTTTGATGATGATTTGAAGGTGAAAAAACGCTCATTATTTACTAGAAACGGCATCAGAGAGGCATATCATGTTAAGTAGAAAAGAAAGATGGAATAGGTCGCAAAAAACTTTGACTTCGGTACCGCTCTTTAAAATATTTTGTTACGCTGATAACCAAGTCCCTGATTCTATCGAGAAGTTTTTGTAAATAACTCACTCGTATATAGAGGAATTTTTCTCGAAAAACGAGATGTGAACTTTCCGCGATATGTTTTTATTAAACTGTATTCAGTTCAAAAAAGGTCCCTAACGATCAAGATTCGGCAATATCTACAACAAAAAGGATCACCGAAGACCTTTCGTGAATTGAATGAAGTTTGAAAAATACAAGATGTCTAAAACTTCTGGCTCTCACTTTGTATTTGACTAATCACTCGTCATGCTGCGGAACTAGTTTATAGAGAATTTGGCTAAAAATCACAGACAGCAGCGACTCATCAACAAAATTTTGTATAGAGAATGATCGTTGTAGTCTAAGTACTTTTCAAATAGAAAGAAAAAACACAAAATACACTTGGATTGTCTTTGGCAAGTCTCTCCTTTGTTTGGCTCCCTACACGCTGTCTCAATGGGATACCATTGAAACGTGTAAGTGAGGTGAAACTGCTCTGTGTTTTGTTAAATCAGAACGTCAAATGGGATAAACACATTGAGCAGGTAGCGATAGACTGTCGAAAGATAGTGGCCACAATTGATCACATATTCGGGATACATCTACAAAAATAAAATAACATCTTTATTTAACCTGTGTTCGTTGCTTTATGGAGTACGCTGCAATTGTTTTTGGCAGCACATTCAAAACACACATCGAAGCTTTGAACTCAGCTCAGCAGCTCGCCTCAGATGTTGTCACAAATAATTATCACTCGTCTTCCACAGCTCTCGAGAAAAGGTTTAGGTTTTGAGTCACTTTCTCATCGTTGAAAAATTTCTCGTTTGCAATATTTGTGGAAGATAAAAAACAGCAAAAGCGCTCTCTCACGCTTCAACCTAATTACAGCACTAGACGCTAAACACTCATCAAGAACAAAGCCAAATACTCAACTAAAAATAGTACATACAGTGAAAAAGTTGTTCCCAGCTTCTCTGTTAGTGAGAAACGCTGGTCCCAAAAGAGAATGGAGCTACCCTAGTGAAATCCCTATGAGTTTTCTGACAGAAACCGAGGCATATCCTACTAGGATTTGGCTTTAATTTCTTATGATCCTAAAAACTTCTACAGAATCCCTAACGAACTCAAAATGTAAAAAATAATATTCAACAGATTCCCTCTATAGGATAAGTTACACAAATCTAACAATCTTGCATTTTTTTGAGATTAGGTTTGTTTTTTTGTCAATAGTGGAAGTGAAGCCAACGATCTTGCATTGCACTTGGCACGGGAGTACACTAAGCAGTCAGAAGTCGTTACATTAAGGTAGTTTTGATCGCTTAGTGAACAGAAATCGCCGATATGTTATATTGTTGTTGTTTCTGTATAGAAACTCGTACCATGGTGTTATTCAATCGGTGTTACCGTTAACAAATATCGCTCTATATAAACGATCATACGGTACTGGCACAAGAGTAACAATGAACCCAGACCCTTACAGGGGACCTTGGGGAGGAAAACACTGTCGTGATTCAATAATACAAGTAAATATTTTGTACGATTTTTGATGTATTTAATATGTATTTTAAGCTAAATACTTAACAATTTAGACAACTCGAAATTGTGACTGTAGTGAAGGCACTTGTAAAGCATCAGATCGCTATGTTGAGCAATTGGAAGATGTTTTAAATTATGAGGTGCACAAACAAAAAGTGGCAGCAATATTCATCGAATCAATTCAAGTAACCAATACTAGCTGAATATTCGATTAACTTAAATATATTAGTTTTGACTTTTTCATTGAGGGCTATGGTGGAGTGGTGCAATATCCAAAAGATTACGTAAAAAGAGCTTCAGAATTAGTACAAAAGAATGGTGGATTATATGTTGCAGACGAAGTATGTAAGAATGAGTTTCGACGAAATCTATTTTCTATTTGTTCACATTCATTTTCATCACTGACTAACAATGCAATTTTAGGTACAAACTGGTTTTGGCCGCACTGGCACTCATTTTTGGGGATATCAAGCTCATAATAGCAAACCTGACATTGGTTTGTAATAGAATACTAATAATATCCAATAGTCTATTAGCACAGTTCATTCCTTCTTTTAGTGGTAATGGCAAAATCAATAGCAAATGGGTATGGTATTTCACACTATTATGTATAATTTATAGCTTGTGATTGATCTAAAAACTTTTAGATTTCCATTTGCTGCTGTTGTTACTCGTGCGGATATTGCTAAATCTACCGGAACTTATTTTAATACCTACGGCGGCAATCCAATCGGATGTGCTGTAGCAAGCGCTGTTCTCGATGTTCGTAAGAACTGTTCTATATATGAGAAATCTAATGAAATAGAAACTATGACATTCATTTATTTAGGTTATACGTGATGAAAAATTACAAGAAAATTGTCATAAAGTTGGCTCGTATCTGTTGGAGCGCCTTGCAAAATTACGAGAACATATTGACATTATAGGTGATGTAAGAGGCAAAGGATTAATGATTGGTATGGAAATGGTGACCGATAAGGTATAAGGAATTGCTTTTATGCCGGAATGGAAAATTTGACTAAAAGTTCTATTTTCATTTGAAGGATCCACGAAAACCTTATCCTGTTGATAAAATGAATGCGATATTAAATACGTGTAAAGAAAATGGTCTTTTATTTGGTAAAGGCGGCAATTTTGGCAATATATTTCGTATAAAACCGCCCATGTGTATTACTAAAGAAGACGCCGATTTTGCTGTAGATGTTATAGCTAACGCTATTAAAAAACACGTCTAGTTTAATTAACAATTGTTCAGTTTATTTCATTTGCACACGATTTTTCTTTTATAATAGTACAATGTGGCACTGTAAAAAATAACTTCTTCAATGAGCAGGAGCTACCTGTTGTCGATCAATTAGACAATGTAACCAGAACGTCGGCACTGCCGACGGTAAAGGGTTTAGGACTTGTTGGTATGTTATTACATTATGAAAGAAGATAATCGTTGCTATGTTTATCTATGAAATGGAAAAAAATAATTTTCTCTTGTGGTAAATTAATAAGTTAGAGTTTCTGCGTGAAAATCTAGCATTACTTTTAATTAGTTTTCGAATTTGAAGTCAAAATGATGCTTCTAGACTGAGTTGTAAATTTTTTTATCAAAGCATCTCGAATTTTCAACAACAAGAAGCGATCCTCTCCTGTAAAATAGCTTTATTTCACTGATTACTAACAACCAACTCATGGAATTCATATTGTCGATAGAGTAGAGTCATGGGTACATTTTAATAAAAAGAAAAAGTTTTCATCTCTCTTAGATCAGGAGCTATTGATATTTTACGGAAAAGAAAGAAATCGCTTATATTAGAGGTGGGACAGTTCCAGTTCAGTTTTTTTGAACGGGAACTGGTACCATTTCTGTTAAAAAAATTAAAATTGAAATAAAACTGGTGAACCTACTTACGTTGACTTTGTATAGTGTGCCAGAGATAGATGGTGTGCTTAGTTGACTAAACCAAGTCAATAGAAATAGATACATCGGTTTTATTTTATTTTGAATTCTTGAAAAGAACTGGTAGCAGTTCTCGTTCAACAGGAACTGTGCTAGTGACCAATTGTTAGGAACTATAGGGACTGGAACTGCCCCGTCCCTAGCTTATATCTGACGAACCATCCAGTAAAAGAGGCCGAAACTTTGTGGATGATCAACATTCGGTAAGAGTTATGAGCGGTATTGCATTCGCATACATCAAATGTGTGATGCGTTACATCGCCCTTAAAATCTTTGAACGTATTGAATGGACACTTTTCATGTATGGATGTGGCGTTGAATAATCTCATGTATTTAAATGCAATAACTTCTAAGATATGTGAACGCATCAAATTAATCTGTACATACATGAATACATTTAATGGTCAAAAAACATTTTTTATGCATTCGAAGACGTGAAATTATTGGTCGTGTTTTTCATCAATTTGATAAAACTACGGTTGTCACGTGTATAAACGCGCGAAATAGTTTAAAAAGTTCTGAATGCATGAGTTAGTAAAGCATTTGAAGATTTGAACCTCAAAAAAACTGATTAGAAAGGTAAAAAATTCAAGCCTCCCAAATACATTAATTTTTAAGGCATCTGAAACCGTTTAAATTTCTTTCTTATCCATTTTAATGCGTTCAAACGTATTGAAGATACAAAAACTCTTAGTTGTAATGTATTCAGAGGGTGTCTGGATACAGAGTTCTCTCATCCAATTCCCTGAGCTTTACACCGTACACTGTGAGAAAAAGAGGTGCATTTATTTTGAAAAATAAATGCACTATCAAGGTGTTAACGACCAGTAAGAAGATGTTTCCACGTAAAAGTCGACATGAATATGCATGCTAGGAAAGAATATTATAAATATTAACACATCGACACATCGGCCGCAGTTTCATCACTAAACTGTTACCAGCACAAGTATCATTTGTATTTGTCTGCACAAATGGTACTGTTCAAATCTGACACATGAATTAACCAAATTAGACTTGAGTCTAACATAATTAAATAAATATGCAACAGATTAAAAATAATCTGTTCAAAAGTATAATGGACAAAGAAACAATGTCGATAGGACGCGTTTCTAAAAAAACTTATCTATCCATTTCTCTTGTCAAACATGTCTTGATTAGGATGCAGAATGACCTTGGGGGGAGGGAGGATCTAACAAGAGTCTCGATGCATTTTCGATGCCTTGAATGCAACTGCGTGATTTATCCGTGGCTGATGGGTCACTAAATGTCTTGGTCGTAGCTAGCACCTTGTGACTATTTAATGTGTTAGCGATGTCTATCGAAAGCACTTAAGCTATTTTTCTCAGAAAAAGTAGCGATTTAGAGGTGTTTTGTCAAGACATCCAGGTGACTAACAGATGAGAATATACACGTAATGCGTATACATTTTGAAAGGTGGTTTATCAAGACACTTTTTTTGACAATGTACCCGTCCTCTTGCCACCTACTAACTTTCTGGCAAACAAAAGAAACTATCATTGTACGTCATGGTGCTATTGAACAAGTATTCTGAGACATATAGACATAAGTAACTTGTCCAAGTTTAATATATGAGTTGCCAGAGGTTATGTACGAACACAGTACAACAATGGTTTATATAACAATGGTTGAAGTACATGAACAATGCTTGTATAACAATGGTTAAAGTAAATGAAGAACAGCACAATTATCAAACCATACTCTCGAAAGATCAATAACATCTTTTCCAATATCTCCTCACTAATCAAATCAACACAAATGAGACACACCTCTTAATCGTTATATCGAAATATGCTTCTCACATTAAACAAATGTAATGGACATTATTCTCAATTAATATTTTCCTCCTATAGCTGAATGATAAGTATTTTCATTGTGAAAAGCAGTTAATCATTTAATTGTTAATGTTATAGCGTATCTTCATACTAGTTTAGTTTTACAAGCTAACAAAATTGCTTTTACTTTGTTTTTTCTACTCAGGACCTCATGTGAAATAGATAAAAAAAAAACACCTGTGGTACGAAATCGAAACAAAGAGAATCGTAAAAGACAAATCAGAATGGGAAAGAAAAAAACTTTGTTTTTTTTTTTTCTTCATCATTTATTACTTTAAATGACCTGATGCATGTCCAAATTTTTTTGTTTCCAATACATGTAATATACTCCATTGATAACAGAAGAAAAGAAAAAAAAATGTTGATGTAATGATATATATATATTTGTATAATTATATTCACATGTATGTCGTTTCATTTCTTTCTCAGTAAAATGAACAAAAAACTATGAGAGAACGAAAATTTTGACAATGTTAAGCTTTTTACTAAGCTGTATGTTTTATTATTGATGATTTTCATTCCTATTTTCTTTTTTTTTATAGCCGCAAAAACGCATTCTTTCTCTACACATTTTTTTCTTCTAAAGTAAATAAATATAATATTGCTCTCATATACAATTGTCAGATGTTGAATAAAATAACTATCTACGTTCTGTTGTTGGTTGTACTGTAGAGATTAATATACGAAACCAACAGTTATTATTAACATTGAAGGTCAGTTTTACAGAGAATAATAAAAAATAAAAGATAACATAATAAGATTATCGAGTGTACGTAAAAGTAAAAAATGTATTTGACACGTTACAATACTGAGAGAACTGAATAGATTCGTTCATAACCTCGTCATTGAAGAATAATTTGTTAATCAATGTCCGATTTTTGTGTATTGTTCAGCTAAGCTTCAAAAGACAAAATATTTTAACAAAAATGAGACTATTAAAATAGTTGAAGTTCAATAAACTGATTAAAATATGAGTATCCTATTCTGTTTTGTTATTATTCTTGTCAATATGAGACTTGTCAATATTGCCAATTTGAAGAACTTGATTTATTCATCGAAATACATCCATTTAAATTCAACCTTTTTTCTTTTTCCCATTTTTTCAAATCTTTTTTTTAGCTTCATTCAATGAACATCAACAAATGGCTGATGACATATTAAAATTATTTCAAAATTTAATTAACACTGAAACAACCGACGATTTTCTATTTGATCAAATTCATTCACAATTTACATTTTCAGCTTTAATTATTTCCTGCTTAGCATCGACAATATTACAAGTTTTTGTAGATCCGATAGAGTGTGTACAACCTGCTCAATTTACCGGTGGTTACACATCGTTTGCTCACACTCTGTGTTGGTTAAATAATACATACTATTATCCTCAAACAGGTAAACAGATACCGATTGATACTACCGAACGTCAAAAACATCGACTTCATTATTATCAATGGTTACCGTTTATATTTTTATTTCAAGCCTTTTTTTTTATGGTACCACGTTTAATTTGGTTATCCTTTAATAATCGTAACGGTTTAAATCCGAGTTCGTTAGTTTTACAAGGACGTAAATACGACAAGAATGCAAAAATTTCAAATTTTATTTCAAAAGAAATTGAACGCTATTTAATGTGTCGACGTTTAGCACAATATAAAAGAAAATTACAGTATCGTTATAGTGAATATTTAACCAGTAAAGGTGATGAACAACGGGAAGATGATCTATCGACCATAGAAACATTTTTACCGAAAGTATCATTAGTGACACGTTCACGAAATGCTTATCTTGTGACTTTATATTTATTTATTAAAATTTTGTATATTCTTAATATTATTCTTCAAACCTTTCTATTAGATCGTCTATTATCAACCGGAAAATATGGTTTTATCCGTTTTGGCTATGATATGATCAAATATTTATTTCATTATAAAAGATATACGTATAAAACAATACTATCCTATAAACAATTGTTTCCGTTTCTAACATTGTGTGATTTTAACGTTAGAGAATTAGGACAAGATCATTCATATACGATTGAAGTGAGTTGTTAAGTATTGTTATTCAAACTAGAGTGTATAAAAGTACTTAGACTACAGTAATCATTCCTCATACAAAATTTCGTTGATGAGTCGGTGGTTTCTGTGTGTGTTTTAACCAGATTCCCTATACACTACACAGTGGGCATGCAGGCGGACATTTGGAGAAAAATCGAAAGTAAGCTTTTTCGAAATTCAAATAGCCTCATAAATACTCCAAAGTCGAGGCTAACTAATAGGGAAAAAATTTTTGGTTCAGCCCACGAATTTACGGAAAAAACCTAGAAGTGAAAAGAGCCCCACTAAAAAACGTGGTATATATACAGATTTTCCAAAAACTCCTGGTTGTCGAGATATTTTCCATTTTCCTCAACCAAGAAGCACTTTTATTGAAAATTAATGTAATATTCGGAATCAGCATGAAGAACTGCATCGTACGATGTATAATTTGTTAATTTTACAAATAAAATATTTTTTGACAAAAAAATCAGGGCAAGAGTCGTTCCCCTGAAGGAATTTTTTATTGAAAAACTTTTTTTTAGAATTCGAATTTTTTTACTTTTATTAATATATGACAGCATAATAACACCAGATTGTGCGAAAATAATCATTTTTTAACTCAGAAAAACGAGATGTCCGCCTGCTCTATGGAAAAATGCTCACTGTGCACTAGCTACACTGCTGACTAAGCGATTTGCGAAGTTAAACTATTTCACTAGGAAAGATCGTTTCACTTCTCGGATGGTAAATTGCTCTCTTCATGAAATACCGTTTTTGATACATCATTGTTAATGTTAATTGCGAATCTGATGCATTTCACGTACCGTTCTTCGAGAAACAAACATCATCGCTAAAAATTCCATACTGGCGGACTATTGTATGCCTGTTGATACCTATGAGGACAAGTTTATAGAATGAATCAGTTTTCACAGAGATATAAGAATTACAATGTATTCGTTGAATTAAAAAAGAAATTTTTTGTCTTTGTAAAAACTTGTCTCCCAAATACCTCGGCTCACTCTATAGCCCCGAAGTATCGGAAGCTATTCAGTCGAAAGTTTCGGACAGAGGCCAAAATATCCTGTTTCTTTAGATTAATAATCGGAAATCGTAGTTGGCAAGATACTAGTTTTTAATTTCCTAAATCCTATCCTATAAAAATTTCTTATCCTGATCCTATCCTATATAGTTTGTGTTGTATCATTACTCAGAAAGCTTGTCAGCAATATAAAAAGAATCAGATTCGTAATTTGCGATTTGTCATATGAAGAGTTTCATGCAACAAACAAACTATTTCAATCTATGACGAAGACATCAAAAATAAACTTGTTTACCTTTGTTTCTATTTTAGTGTATACTACTGATAAATATTTTTTATGAAAAGGTTTATTTCGTTCTATGGATTTGGTTTTGTGCACTATTTCTGTTCAGTATAATTAATTTTATTTATACAATTTACAATTATCTCATCATTTTTGGACGTTATTCTTATGTTAAAAAAATATTACGTTTGGCTATAGCCAAACAGCAAACTTCGTTACTATCTTTTGAATCAAAAGACAACGCTGAGGATGATAATGATCCAACAACAGATATTGATTTAATTTCAGATGTGTATTCAAATAAGCAACGTTTGAGAAATTTTGTACATTGGCTGCAACCAGATGGTGTATTTTTGTTACATTTATTAAATTCTCATGTAAACGAACTAGTGGTTATCAGTTCTCTGGGCGAATTAGTAGAAATATGGGCTAAGAAATATGAAAATCCAACGAATTTAGCACAACATTTAATGAAAAATGATTTTAGTTATTTATAGTTCTTTTTTCTAGGTCAACGTTAATGATCTCATGAATCAGTAATTAGATATTTCCGAATGTACTGAATCTTTAAAAATAAATTTTATCTATCGATGTAATTTTGTCAATAAATAAAAAAAAAACTCAATAAATTTTGTTTTTTAAATAACCTATATGCCTCTGATTACTATCTTTTAATAATCTTACAACAAATCGTTAGTTTCCATATAATCATCTACTAAAGTGGCTAGGATGAAATTATTTTAATGAGCTCCGAACAGTTTCCAAATCCTTGTAAGATCTTGACACATAATTCTCAAGATACATCATAATCAGAGTCAAGTGAATCTTGATCAAGAATTTTCAAGATTCAGAATTTTTAAAGAACTTGTGAGGATTTTCAATTTCTGAAAGACGTGGGACGGTTCTTTGTTTTATCAAAAGTCATATAGAGGCACGTGGGGCAATTAGAACGCGGTCAAAAAGTTTTGCGCTATTTTTCTCGTAACTTTGAAAAATTAGAAGTTTTCACAAAACTTCTAATGCAAAAGTTATAGACTAGGCACCGATTAGTGCAAAAATCAATCGTAAATCTTACCAGCAAAAAGACTGGGAGCAGTTTTACTGGAGGAGGGTGCGAAACTGAAGATGATCGCTCTAAACAAGCAACTGCCAAGGAAGTTTGCCGGGCTGACAAACTTCCTCTACATTTCGCATAAGGCATACACCACTGCTCATATGATTTGCAGAGTTTTATAAACTTTTTAAAATAATTCTTTACATTTTTCCACGCATGTTCCCGTTGTATGAACATGGGGAAATCCTCTTCTTGCTCTCCATCATATTCCGGAGTACGTGCATTGACTTTCCAAAGTACATTAGCTCGTGAGCGAAACAATTCTCTAAATCTTTTTCTAAGAAACTTTGTATCTATAGTGTAAAATAGAGATATAAAATAGAAAATACATTTTGAAGAAAAGCCCATTACTTTTGGTAGATGCGTTCCATTTACCCCATGTAGACACAGCAAACGTTCTAATTTCCCACTTGTGGGAAATAGGAACGCACAGAATTTTTTTGAAATTAGAGTCTCATATGTGACGGACAAACTATCTTGAGATCTTATAGTACGTTAGACTTTTAATCTATATAGGTATATAGGTGAATGTCTGCTACATTTTATGTCTGCCGTGTATTTCAATATACCTGAAAGCACGATTAGCAAAGTCAAAATATGTTTGTGGAAGAATCTTGTGTGTTTTGGTAGATGCGTTATATTTACCCCATGCAGACACAGCAAACGTTCTAATTTCCCACTTGTAGGAAATAAGAACGTTTCGCACCCTCCTTCAGTAAAACGGCTCCCAATCTTTTTGCTGGTAAGATTTACGATTGATTTTTGCACCAATCGGTGCCTAGTCTACAACTTTTGCATTAGAAGTTTTATGAAAACTTCTAATCTTTCAAAGTTACGAGAAAAATAGCGCAAAACCTTTTGACCGCGTTCTAATTGGCCCACGTGCCTCTATCGTTCACAATATAATTCGTAAGTACAATTCTGTTTCTCACAACTTCAACGTTCTCAGTTTTCTCATTGGTTGTTGTATCTGTCATAAAACGACACTTATTTAGCTATACAAGATTCTCTCACATTTATCTAAGATTGGTTTCGTCAATAATTTAGCAACCTTTCAAGATTTTCCATTTTGTGGAGAGTGCCAGTTCTGGCTCCATCATGCTCTTTAGCAGGTCTATCCTGTCCAGAGTTGCAAGATGGTCTGCATTTTGAGAACAAATTCCGAATCTTTGAGTTTTTCCTGCAATTTGTCCTCTGTCTGCTATTTGTCCGCATTTTAAGCATTTTCTGATTTTGTTGTTTTTCCCTGAGTTAAAAATTCGTTTAAACTCATCGTTATCATGCACTGAAATTTATAATCATTTCTTATTAACGCCGGCAAATTTGGACGGAAGTTGGCAAATTTTCAGATTTGTATTCCGCATTTCTGACCTGAACATCTTGCAACTCTGATCCTGCCTACCTCTACGTAGAATGAATCGTTTTTGATAGACTTGCATTCGCAATAAAAACGAAATTGAATCTTGTTTTAATTTTTTGACATTATATTAACTATATAATAGTTCATCTGGAGCTCATTGATACCACCCATGTGCAAAAGATTCATGTACTAATCCATTAACAAGAGTCTACAAGATCTCGGAACAATTCTTTAATCTGTCTTTATACAATGTTTCTACTCTTTCTCACTCACCATGATAATCGCTATGTCTAAAGAATGTGTTCGCTAACAGAATTCCAGCAGTGTTCAATTATTTTCTTCATACCGTTTATGTTTTAAACATGTTCATACGCTTCTTTCGCTATCTTCAAATTCTTCAAGCTTGTGCAAGTCATTTAATTTACTTCAAAACAACCATGAATATGCTACAAAAATTCAGAATATCAAATTCAAGCAAAAAGCCTACCACTGAGGAACAAAAAGAAAAAAGGTTTGTTTTTATTCTATTGGAGATTGTGTATAAAGACAATAACTGTATATGAAACGTGGATCAGATAAAAGTTCATGTTTCATCTACTAAAATCATTCGTCTGTTTTCATTAGTATTTTATTTGAGGAGTGCATTTTCATTGTCGTGTTCTCGTTTGTAAAAAAACGTTTTCGACTACTGACAGATTTGTTGAATGTGTCGGATAACTGAATTAACCTTGTCTGTGGTTTTATATTGTTTTTCGTAAACGTCTTATTGTCAATCGTCTGATCAGTTCCTCGATCTCGTTCGAAAATTTAGTAAATTAATTAAGAAGAAGTAAATGAGGAGTGAAGGTTTTTAATATTATTCTGTTGAATAGATTGAGACATTTTTCACATTGATCATGCACATTTTCTACATTAATCGCTGACAGTGGCGGATTAGGCCAGTGAACGACCGCTCGTACATCTAGCGCAAAAGAATGATTTTTGCCCAGCAGAATTACCTCAAACCATTGTTTATACGGCGACAGCACGTACTTCATACTTTCCTTACCTACCATAAGTACCTAAGAAAAATCCTGAATGTGCCACTAATCATTGGTCAATCGTTAACAGGTTTTATCTCTGCAGCTAGTTCTAACCTAGCTTAAGTTCGGTAAATCATCCTTTAACCTAGATTAACCTAACTCCCAGAACACTTTTTTTGCTTAGATATATCAATCATTTCTTACTGGTTATTCATTTTTTTGTACAACTAGGATGATAATGTAAAGAGAACGATAACAAGATTAATTTGCACGTGTTTCAAAGGATGAATATCCAATGAACATTGCATCTTTGTCTGTTTTTAATTTACTAAAACGATGAACGTATATATTTCGCAAAATGTACAGTTGATTTATACAGTAGTTTCGATGTCTGGTAGGGATCTTCTCCATCATGAAACTACTTAAAAAGCCGCACGTTATTATTTTTGAAATTCGAATAGGACGAACGATAATCGTCACTAATTGGATCAGATTAGAAACCGTTTCAGGTCATATTATTCCGCCGAGGTTCCTACACAGGCTGTGTCCAACCGGTCTGATCTGGTTCAATCCAGGCAAAAAACGTAGATTATGCAAATGTAAGCAATTTTAAAAGTACTAGATTTCGACGATGTACCAGTGTGATATAAATTTATTAGAACATAAAATTCGCTGATTTTCTTTGTATTTTGGTTTAATTGGTCTAATTCTGTGTTAGGTAGAGAGATGTTAGTTATATGAACACACAAAAGATAGCCAGCTTTGCCAGTGATGTTTTCTAGAGAAGACGACCTCTTTTTGCCGCATTTGATATTAAATAGCTCTTGCCTTTTAATTGTATCGTCTATTTCTGTATAAATTCTAGTCTGGTCCGACAAGCTGAAAAAAGTTGGTTGGATTAGTAGCTTTTCCAACCAGCGAAGATCTCTGAATCTCATTGAATAACTCTGAAATATTTAATACCTCGACTTGTGCTCCATAAACATTGAAAAAAAAAACATGCCTCCAACGGGAATCGAACACAGAGTCGCCCGGTTACAGGTCAGAACATCCAGCAACTCTGTATTGGGTAGATATACTTCTCAAAAAAACGATGTGAGCTAAAAGCGTAGTAGTTAAAAGATATTTAGTCTTATTTGATATGCGCGTGCGTTGTACACCACTCTATTTTTATTCGTATCAGTCTTCCTTTCTGCAATACAGGAAATAAAATTCGCACACACATACACAAAAATTGTTATTGTAGGTGAACACAAACATCTGTGTTCCATATAGACTATAAAAGAGAGAACAGAAAAATTATTGAACTGACAAAAAATAAACACAATCGAAAAAGAATCAGACAAAGAGAAATCACATATATGAGGTGAGAAAGAAAGAGTAAATTACCACGTTTATTGCAGGAAAAGTTATTATTGACTAATTCATATGTTGTTACTTTGATTGTTTATTTTTTTTGTTAATCAATTGTTGACTAGAACATTCTTCTTGATTTAGATATTGTTCAAATTGCTCCGTTTTAACTTTTAATTCATTTAATTGTTGTTGACGTTTTATGACATGTTGTTTGAGTTGTTGAATAAATTTTTCTTGATCGTAATCAACATGCAACGTTTGTTCATAAATATTACGTAAATCATTTTTATTTAAATCATCACATTTTAATACCTCTTGACAACAATCAAATACTTCTTCTTCATATTGTTGTACATGTTCAATGGCGTTCTGAAAATAGAATTCAGTGAAAGTTAAAACAAATTGAGAATGATGAACAGTTTGGTTACTTACTGTATAACTTTGCATTGCTTCATCTAGCTCAGTATCCATGTCACAATTGTCTTCATCATAACCAAAACCGTTTTCTTTGTCATCTGCTGGATTCAATTCACCTATAAATGAATAGAACAATATGTCTATATCAAAAATTACTTTGAAAAAGTTATTGTAGAGATCAGTCCCTAGACTAAATACGAAGTGAAATCTCATCTTAATTTTCTACATGAAGTTCGGCCGTACATTATCTTCTAAAACTTGCCGAGTACTAGACAAACTATGTTTCTATCTTTTATTTCTCAACAAAATAAATTTTTTTCTCCAAACGACAGTGCATAATCATATAGTAGAGTAAGTCTGAATAGTTAAAAAATCCGAGTCCTACTTCGAACGAAACACATGGAAGTTCAACTCTAGATGCTCTGCTCTAGTCATTAAGATTTCTATCACTTAGAACAATTGAAAAGATCAAACTTACCAATTTGTTCATCAATGTTACCATTTTTTGTTTTAACATCATCTGTTCGTAATTCTTTTACTCTATCAGCATAACGTAATGTATTCATTGTATTTTCAACATCCATATTTGATGGACTAATCATTGCAATCATGCATACTTTTGATTTTTCACCAATAAATGAATCACGTAGTACTTTTGTTAAAGTTGAACCACGAAACGGAACATGATGACCTACATTAACGAATGTATCTTTTATGTTAAATGCTCTAGCTTATTCGCAGTTGCCAACTATCCTCTTACTTTTTTCTTTTTGAGAAAAAAAGTAAAAAACTACAGAATTCTCTCGCATAATAAACTTACCATCTCCTCTTCCTAATGCTCGAATACATTCTTTTAATGCTAATAATGATTTATTAATTTCACTTCCTTCCATTCGTTGTAATCTATCACCAGATGCCGTATCTTTTCCTCGTTCACTACCAGCTAAATCAATTAATGACATTTTTCCAATCTCTTTTATATAACGTTTACATTGTCCATTTTTTGTCATCGATGTTGTTGGTTGAGATGCTTTCAATATGATTTGTAATACAGCATGACTACGAGATGAATTAAAATTTGCTGCTGTTTGTCCACTTGTACGTATATTCATGCCAAGTTGAATAATAGCCAAAACATCTTGAACAGTTTTAACATGTTGTTCTTTACGATCACATATTTGCACGAGACCTTTTTGATCTTCAAGAACGCGTAAACGCTTTTTATTGTTTAATAAATCGTACACTTTTCCACAATAAATTTCAAAAAATGTACAGTATATATCGATCTGTTGTTTAAAACGTTTTTCATATCGTTGAAATATATCACGTGTCGTTTGCGCATATATACCATGACTATAATCGGCTGTTTTACACGACAGATCACAACCCATCGTAAATGTTTTACCTAAATGATAAAAAAAAAATAATTTACATCAGCTAAAATATTTTATTTAGAACGCACCACTTCCAGTTTGTCCGTACGCAAATACAGTCGCGTTTCCACCATCGAAAATAGTTTCAATTAATGGTTGTGCTGTATAACGATAAACCAATTCATTTGTCGATTTTTCATCAAAGGCAAAATCAAATCTAAAACGCAATAATAAACGATATATGTACTGGGGACAAATTTTCAAAGAAACGTAAGTACCTTATATTTACTAGTGAAAGTTTTGTTTACGTTTAGAATATACATAAGAGAAAATAAACAAATCAACTTACTTAAATGTTTGATTGTCTAAAAATTTTGTTAAATCAACTTTTGTTTTTGGTACATGTACAAGACAATGATCTTTATTTGGTATTGTTATAACATCATTATCTTTTCGAGCAATTTCTTTTTTATTAATTGGTCGTTTTCGAACACAAACACAAATGCGTAGATCTTTTTCAATATACTCCAAATTTGTGATCGCTGTATAGGATAAAGTTGAACTAAAATCAACAATTTATTTATAAAGAAAATAAAGACAAATCATCTTTAGAAGATTTATAAAAGCTGACATTTTAACATATGCAAAGGACTTTTACCGATAATCGAGTATCATTTGTCCGAATGGTCCATTGTAACCAACTGTATTCTGGATTGTTTGTTGTTCAATAACTGTTGCCGGGGGTTGTACAACATGTAATCGACTTAAACGTCTTTCATTTGGTTGTTTATTATTTGTTCTATTTGTTGGTTGTCCAACAGGATCTGGCACTGGAGATGGAGGAGTCGGATTCGTGGGTGTCGATGCAAAAGATGATGCGGTTGTTGTGGCTGAAGAAATTGGTTTCATTTGTGGACGACGAATTGATCGAACTGCTATTGTGGATTGTTGTCTATTTAAAACTGAAGATGCCATTGGTACAGATGCTGAGCTTTGAGCACTATTTTTGGGTTGCAATAGTTGAACGGGTAATGTTGGGGGTGGTCTAGAATATTCACGTTCAAATGTGTCAATATCCAGTGTTAAACGAGTTTGAACATCATTGTTATCAGAAGTAATCGCTGTCTTATTGATATTATTAACTAATTTTGTTGTCATTCGATCATGAATATTATCTACTAATAGTTGAACAGCAGCCGTTGGACGAACTGTTGTTGATTGTTGTTGTTGTGATGACATTTGAGATAGTGTTTTCTCGTCGACTGAACGTAATTCGGGATTTAGTTCATAAACTAAATCTAACAATATTTCTTTGCCTTTAACATCATTGTTCTCTGTCCATTCAACACCAACAGATTTTGACTCTACATTTAGTTGAACAACTTTAGCTAAATGAATGCGCCCGTCTGAGCGTTTTATTTTTATTGTTGTTGTCATTTTAATTAAACCAAATACTTTATTATCCATACTCATGTTAACAAATATGAAAAACACAGAATAAAACCAGAAAAATAACTAGAATGAGGAAAAAAAACAGATATAGAAGAGAAATTTTTCTAGAATAGTTGTTCGACGCCTGAAAGTAGAATTACCACTCACAGTGTGGTGGGCTAAAAAGGTATAAAAAATCTTTTCTGAACTTCTCTCATGAAAAGGCACTTACTTGGAGATACAATATATTTTACTCCTCTCTCTTTTATAAATGTATCTTTTACGATATTTCACAAAACGTTGATTTCAAAGTTTACAAGTCGGGACAAAAAGACATAACTCTACATAAACAAACAAACCCGATCTCTTTATCTACAATCGTTTCATATGGCATCAGTTTTCCTAATTCTAAAATTAACCGTGGATCAGGTATACATAAAGCATTTGGAAGCTGTACTACGTTGTCTGTTGACGGGATCAGCTCCTTATTTATAGACCCTTCAAGCTCGAAACTGTTTCTAAGAGAAAAACATGAATTTAAAGTTGTCTCCGTGTTGTATATATCCAGTTTATAAACCACCTGATGATGTTTTCAAAGTTTCAAATGCATGGATTGAATTTTGCGGGAGATGTGGATTTGTACAGTTTCTCGTAGCTGAAATCACAGTGTTCCCAAAATCCATGTTCATCAGATTTTTCAGTTTTCTCTGAAAACAAAAATTGTCACCATTCTCCACCAAAAACTGGACTTTAGAAATGGGTGTTTTTTTAGTGTTCGCAATAAGATCGTTTACCAAACGGTTTCGTGAGGTTCTGCACTTCGAAATTCTTCTTAACTCGAAAACGTTAAACTTTGAAAAAGTGGCTCTGTCAAGACGTAGATGTTGAACTAATTAACAAAACAATTTTTGGGTGTTCGTTTCGCAATTTAGTTTTGTATTGTGCATCTGTGAATTATACAAACATCATGTATCGTTAAGAAATATTTTACGTTCTTCTCACTAACTGATGACGACTTGTGCTAGTCGGTAAAATGTCGGATAATCTTAGTGGATCTCAGAAGTACAATAGGTAGTTGAATCGATAATCACTATACCATTTGACGAAAAATCATCCTAAGATTTAAAAAAACGCACATGGGTATAGTCGTGGCATTACTCATGTTATCCCAAAGTCGTATTATACATTTATTGTCAAATATTCCTTTCTGTGAAAAAATCTTAATAGAAATTCTATACTTATAGGACTGTCAATAGTAATAATCCTTGTGATAAAAATGTCTACATCGTTTCTGATAATTTAAAAGTCGAACAGTGCTCGTGGAATTCTATTTTAGGAATTTCTGACCCGAGCATCGTATTTGATACAGCGCGGGAACCGATTTGTGCCGGCCTGACACTAGATTCACACCGTCTGAATTTTATCGGTTGAACTTTTTAGAATTTTTCATTCTTCCTAGGAGTTTTTTTACAAAAATAAAGAAAATTTGAACTTTTTAACAAAACTAGAATTGATCATTCATATGAGAAGTTTTTCGGTCCATTTTCTCTCTCTTTGGTTTTCATAAGTTTTCTCTTGTTTTAACTAGATTCAATTTCGAATCTATAATAGTTTTCTACTCTACTGTATACTATACAACGCTTTGGCGCTTGGCGTAGTTTGATATAGAGATGAAACTTATCCAAAAGTCGTTGATACCTGCACGGGTCTAGAAATTGCATCTGAATGATCGGTCTTTCTCCTGATCGGTTTTATTGGCCGATCAAAAATTGTTGTTAGCAGCACAAAACTATCGATTACAAAATGAATTTCGCTTTGTTTTCACCTATTTTATTGTAACATTGGCTGTTTCCTTGCTCGGTTTGAAATAAAAAAATTAAGAAATCTTTTTAAATTCGACCCAGAAAAAGCTTCATATTGACTCATCTGAAAAGTCTTTACCTAGTATCGGTCTCTACCTATGGTTTTACAACAAAATCTTGTTTTAAAAAGATGAGAAAACTTTCCAAAAATTTCAACGATTTTTGCCCAAAACCTGTCGGTTAGCGATCTTTTTCAAACAGTGCGACTGAACCATTTAAGAAAAGTCAAACGATTCCGTGTCAGTTTTAATATCATGTAAAAATTCGTAGAAAAATCGAACTTATTTGAAAGGGGTAAAATAGAAGAAACTTTCATATTAATACACTATCATGCAGTATTTTTCCTATAAAACATGAATAGAGGCTAAATTCTAATAAAAGTTATCATCATACATCCTGAATATAAAACTCAAGTTTTGATATCTTATCGTTTCGAAAAAAATAGCTTCCTAAGTTATACACGCGCGTAAATAATTTTCTTACGAAAGTGGTATGAAATCGAAATCCAATATTTTGAATTTCACAGAATTTTTCTCCCTTGAGATTCAATGATGACATTTTTTCTCAATAATTAAAAGAGTGTGTTCAGTATAACTTGTCAAAACCTATCGAGTTTTGATGTTGAAAAATATCGAAAATCTTTTGTTTTGTTAGAATAAAACAGTAGTTTAGTGGATTTGTGAACGATAATTTGTATTCAAACTACTTCCGAGAGGACATTTTTTAATAGTTGCGAAGACCCTGATTGAAATCTTCGATACTTAGGACCTCGAATATGTCTGCTGCACTCTAACGTCTATTTTTTAATTGTTTAATTATTCCATTTGCTAGTATTTCATCCGTCTATCTCTTCCTTTCTTACTCAATTCAGTGTGATATAATAAAAACGATGGTGTGATACCAATTTCTTGGCGACAAATCAGGAAAATCATTTCAAAAATCAATCTATAGATAAATGTATCATTTTATTCTTCGTGCAAAACAGAGTAACAGCTGTTTCATGTCTAGCAGGAGACAAATATTATTCACTCGAATGCTTACATTAGCAGTGATTAATTCGAAATGTTTCTTGTCAATACAGTTCTTACTAATATAAGTAGCACTATTGCTAACTAAGAAAAACAGTAACTGATCAATCTCTTCCATAATCATTGTATAAAAGTATGCCATCTCTAGTCTAAATCGATGTTAATCCTTTATCATGTAACCGATCATGCAAAACCGAACTGAAAATTCTTATACCTCTGTTTAGCCTTGATAAAACGAAAGACGGGAAACGATTTCAGTAAGTAAATGATCCAATATGACTTGAAACGAGTGAAAACGAGCAGAAATGCTTCTCTTTTCACTTCCGACGCTCGAAAATTGCTCCTGATCTCCTTGACAAAATTATTTCTTATCATTTTTCATCACCAGTTTAATGAAGATCATTCGCTTTGTTCCTCAGATTTTTTGAAGATCTTGACCACAGTCCATACTTAGAAAGATAGCGAATTTTGCAGGCTTCAAAATGAATTACAATATTTTGTTTTAAAAGTTTGCCCTGATAGATTTATCGGCTAAATACTGAATAGATATCTCGATTTTTGCCCATAGTGATATATAAAAATGATTAGTTTCTTTCAATAAATAGAAATTAGGAATAGTTTGTACTTAGAAAAATGCAGAATTGAGAGAGCTACAAAATAAGCTATAGTATGTTGTTTCAAATCTTAAGTTTAACGGACCTATTGTCAAAATAACGAACGAACAGGAAACTAGCAAACTCTACAAAAAAGCAGCAGAAATGTCTTAGGGCTTTCGTAACTATAATGCAGCTTGATGAAAATGTGTTGTGGAGAGCTCGGAGACATCTTATTTTCTTCAGTACATCTTTACTCTATTTAACTAAACTATTAACACAAAACTACCTATAGACGGTACGATACCTGGAAGTAGGAATTTGGGTTTCTCGAGATCCTGGTTTTCAGGCATTCTAAGGGATTATTTTTATACGCCTCATCGGATAGAAAAATGTTTCAGCTGCTCAAAGCATTCTTTAGTATCCTTTTAGCTGACTGACAAAAAAAGCTCAAACGCTTGTTACGTACTTTCAGCAACAATCATCATACTTGTCTAGTATTTAGAGTAGAAATATATGAAGGTATACGTTTACAACAATCGAATGCATTTCAGTTTGATGCTCGTTATTTCCTGCATTTTTTTTTGTATGAAAGTCATTTCTGGTCTCGCTATATTTACAGCACTGTAATTCGTTCGCTGTTCTGTCATAGATCGAAACCACTATATCCGTTCGGTATTTTGCCAATAAGTCTGTTAAACTTAAGATTTGAAACAACATACTATAGCTTATTTTGTAGCTCTCTCAATTCTGCATTTTTCTAAATACCTAATTTCTATTTATTGAAAGAAACTGTAATCATTTTTATATGGGTAAAAATCGAGATATCTATCCAGTATTTAGCCAATAAATCTATCAGAGCAAACCTTTAAAACAAAATATTGTAATTCATTTTGAAGCCTGCAAAATTCGCTATCTTTCTAAGTATGGACTGTGGTCAAGGTCTTCAAAAAATCTGAGGAACAAAGTGAATGATCTTCGTTAAACTGGTGATGAAAAATGATAAGAAATAACTTTGTCAAGGAGATCAGAAGCAATTTTTGAAAGTTATAAGTGTTGGGAAGTGAAAAGAGAAGCATTTCTGCTCGTTTTCACTAACTCATAACCGATGGTAACTCATGTTCACGCCTCTGGATCTCTGGGGATAAAGTTTGGGGGTACTTTGCTCTCGCAGAAAGCATCTTTTCAATGGAAGCAACGAAAAACGAAAAAGAACTTCATGAAGAATTCAATTCAGAAGAGAACGATTAAGTTTTTTTCCTTTCGGATCGGAAGCTTTTAGGAAAACCAGGGCCCTCCTTCACTAGAAAGAACATCATCGAAAAACTTTATTTTTGCTTTCTCAATGATAACACGAACAATAATAAAACCTTATGGGAGGAAAAACAACAAAATATTCCGGAAATAATACTTTTTTGCATTTTTTAATCAAATAATATGATATTTCTACTACTATGTCGAAAACAATTGCATACACATATAAAATCTCATTAATAATATAGTAGACTAAAGTGTGCTTTTAAATCATGCGATAAGTTCTTTTGTTTTTCAGTAAAAGAAATTTACAACCATTTACTTACATTATAATTTAGATTGTTTCAGTAAAATCAAAAGATAAAAACGTGAAAGAATCAGTAAACATAATACGTTCCTTGAATCTTTTGTATAAGGTGCATTCAAGTTTTAATGACGAACGAAGTGTTTTATAAAATACTATTTCATAAAAATGTGTTGGGTTGTGTTATTGTTCTATATAAACAACGAGCTTTGTTCGTAGTCGAACATCTGATTTAAGAGAAAAGAAGGAAAAATGAATCACATATGGACCGAATGTTCAGTGTATATGTGTGAATGTGTGTATGCCTATAAATCTATATATACATTCTACATGTTTTCTATCTTTACTATATAATATATATATATATAGATCAGAAGACGAGAGAAAAGTTTTTTCACCGTCGTTTCTGTTTAGGTCGCTATGTAGCTATATTATTGACTCATCAATGAGGGAAAATTTTCAAAAAATATTACCACAGTAAAGCCTCGTTCACACTAGAAATTTAAACTTCGTTTTATTCTAATTTTTCGGTTAACAAATTGAGTTCTGAAATGACATTATTCACACGGTCAACGAAATTGACCAATAGTGAATGATCATAAATTATTATTGTCAGGAATCTGTATTCTTGTTTTTTTGCATGCACTATGTTTGGTGTGTGAACCATTCTATAGCTGTCTCATTATAAGTACAAAAGATGCTAAACCAAATGTTTAAACCAATTTGACAAATCGACCGTGCTTACGTGGTATAAGATTAAAAAAAGTTGAGATAAAACGAGATTTAAATTTGCCGTATGAATGAAGTTTAAGCGATGGTTAAGTTGTTTCTATTAATGCACATGAGTAAGAAAAGTAGAAATATGTAAAGAAATGACATGAAAATATATGCATGTTTTTTTTCTAATTTTTTCATGTAACACTAACCAATAATTGACAAAAAAAATGAGAGTATAATATGTCGAATTTTTGCGTCGTTCTACTAATCTGTTTATAGATAGATATAGCAGACTTTAGGTATATGTATTATGAACGAAATAATTTATTACATAGAAACATGATCAGTATAGAAACAATTTACTTTAAACTCTCTTGATAATTACTAGAAGAGTGTTAAAGATCTCTAATGTAATAAATGAGATCGAGGGCTGAAGTAATGTCCACGCCTACTTAACATTTTTTTGAATCTTTAAATCTTTTTTACAACGAAATGCGTGTATAACCAAGGAAAAGAACGTCTTCTTTCCAGACTCTGCAACAGGTTTAGTATTCGAAAGTTGAAATGAACAATGGTCGATCATCTTTTTCCCATATTAGTGAAGTTGTACTCATATCAATGCTTCAGAATTGGAACCGGCAAGACTTGGTAGAAACGGACTGATCAATAGAATTTTTCACTAAAACAGGAAAAACTCAGTGATTTTTTTCAATTTTTACGATAATGTTTTATTTTTCACTAGTAGAACAAGAGATTTTAAATGATTGCTTTCAAAAAACAAAAACTTTAGTGTTTTAGATATTTGTTCGAAATGGACTAGAAAAAAAGTGAAGACCTGGCATCTAGAACCTATTGATTTCAGTTTACTCGGTCAATCCTTGATACGAAAAACTTTGTTAGAAAATAATTTTCGCGTTTTCGCCATCAATATCGAATTATGAAATATTAAGTGATTTGGAAGATGTTCACACGTTATAAGACCCGAATCTTCTGTTCTGTTCAAAGTTCTAAAGCTTTTAGACATACCTTACTATTATGACTGTTTTTCAACTTTTAACATTTATTGTCAAGTTTAATACAAAGCGTTGTTGAATATTCGACTATTTTTTCTTTATTCATTAAAGCTAGAATTATATTTGCATTTTCATCGATAATTCTCTAGTTAGTTTTCATAGTAACATCATTTTTTGTTCAGACATACAAACAACGTTCAGAATGGTGTTTTATTTTGTTTTTGTATCATGCACGCTCAAGGATGTCTACTACTAATTATAAGAGTACACGATTTTCGAAAGTTTTCTATGAAGCCGACTAGCTGGAATAAATCTAATAAAATAGTGAATAATAGTATATATTATATTATATTATATTTTTATTAAATACCGTTTAATAGTGATTTAGGCAGCGGAAATGAGACCCTATTAGATGAGTTACATGTCACGGTTTCATAAAAAGTCTTGAGAATAGGGTTTCAGAAGGCCGCTCCAGCGGGATTCTAAGTCCCTGAGGGTTTTTCGGAAATTTTTTCCAACAGTTTAGTCTTGTAGAGCTGAAAATTCGAGCTCTCTACGACGTTCCCTCATGAACTATAAATGGTCCAAGAAGGGCTAAAAAAAAAACGGTTAAAAAACAACTACATCTTATGTTTCTCAGCGATACATTGCGGTTTTTTCGTACATCTGTAGTTCCACGAGGGAATGTCGTAGAAAATCATCAGGGACTTAGAATCCTGCTGAAGCGGTTCTCTGGAAATCCTATTCTCAAGACTTTTTATGAAACAGTGACATGTAATTCATCTAATAGGGTATCATTTCAGCTGCCGAAATCACTATTCAGAAAAATTTCGAAAATCGTATACTCTTATAATTAGGAGCAGTACTGTATATTAGGAGTGTCTAATAGGATTAGTTAGGAGCAATCTATGTGTTCTTAAAAATATATAAAATACACCACAGGCACTTGTACCACGACAAATAGAAAATATAAGAGCATGATTTACCGCTTTGAGCAATGATCAACAAAGAAAGATCACAACATTCTGTGAAGAATGTAGTATTCGTTTGTGAAAAAAGATTGATTAAAGAAAACGTTTTGTAGTTTTAAAGATTTTTTTTTGCCATAAAAAACGAATTTTTACTTTTTTCCCTCAATTGAATTTGTAAAAGTATTAGGGAAAAATCAACATTTTTTCAATAGTTGAACTGGACCGATCGTACACTTTTTCCAATTTCAATTTTGCAATGCTTAAAATTCTCCTGGAAATAATTTTGTTGATATGGTTGTTCTTGATGGTTGCTTATCATCTAGAATTCGATCTCGTCGATCGAATAATGAATCCATATAAGAAAATTCATGAAATGTATTTACTGTAACTGATAATGTAGTTGTTCGTAATTGAGTTAAAAATTTTTGATACATAATAATAAATAATGGACAAGCAATCAATGTCATAATAATAATAAACACAAATGATAGATAAGATTGTTCATTTGTATCACCATAGCCAACATTTAACAGAATATGATAAGCAAAATAGATGTAGCGCGATGGTGGCATGATATATTTTATTGTTGATGAATTCGTCATATCTGTTATTTGAATTGTCAAACCAAACCATGTACACATAAAGACAATTGTACAAAAAAATAACATTAAACTATTAATAACAACAATGGAATTTTTACGATTAAAATACAATACATCAACTATATGACAAAATTCTGGACAACATAAACGAATTAATAATATATGACGAAAACCAACTGATACTAAATAGAACCATGTACCTGAAATTCAAACAGAAAAAAGAAAAAAGAAAAGAAAGTTCCATCCAGAGCAATTCTATGGGATCTTTTAATATTGTAACACATCACAGTGGGCATCCAGGACGACCTTTAGCCAAAAATCGAAAATATACTTTTTCAAAATTCAGATAGTGTCACGTACAGTTCAACTGACGGGCTATCGAATGGTGTAAAATGTTTTACTTCAAGTGCACTCATTTTCGGAAAACTGTATCCTCCCAAAAATGCGTGAAAAGTAGCGACCTCAGAGAAAAATAGGTTTTTTAGTAGATTCAGTGGTCTACGGTTTAAAAATTTTACATATTCTGAATCTGCACATCCTCCTCCACAAAACTGAAAAAAACTTACCGTTTCTAGGCCTGTCAAAACGGCGAAAAAAATTCGACTTTTAAACTAAGTCTGTTTCGAAAGAGGTTCTCATTTTGCGATGCGTTTCCTCCCTTCTCCCCCCCGTCCAATCTGACTCAAAATTATACAAAAATGCTTGGTGTTATTTTCTCTGTCAATTGTGAATGTACAAAAATGCGCATATTTATTAAAGTCGAGTTATAGGTTTTCCAAAAAATCCTGGGTTTTGAGACATTTTCCATTTTTCTCAACCGAGAAACACTTTAATTGAAAATTAATATTTTTTGACAAAAAGTCAAGGCAAGGATCCGTCCTCCTAAAAAATTTTTTATCGAAAAAAAACGGTGTTTCTGAATTCGAGTTTTTTGCTTTTATTAATATCTGACGCATAATAAAACCATATTATACGAAAATAATCATTTTTTAACTCAAGAAAACGAGATATCTGCTTTGCTCTACTGAAAATTGCTCACTGTGTGTACCTGCTGAATTATATGATAATAGTGTAAAAATGTATGTTATTGATGAACATAATAATTGAATGACAAATATGGGACTTTGAAATGGTGCTATGAGAATTATTTGTATATTATCATTTAATTTCATATTTTGATGTAATTGAATCAATGTTCGGGCACAATATTGTTCACAAAATAAGGATACTAATAAAATTAAACTAAATACAATATCACATATTAAAAATGAAAATTTTCGTTTAACACATCGATAGTGAATTATTTCAATAATAGATATTGCACATGATAATAGTGCACAACAATTAATTATACATCTTAGAATAAAATCTTGAATTAATAATGGACGAAATAATTTCATTATATTTAATTCATTTAATTGTTTATCTTGACTTATTGTATATTGTTCATATTTATATGTTCGTCTTAGAAATATATCAGGTATTAAATTAATTTTATAATATTTTTTTAAATCATAGAATATTAATTCATCATAAAATAATTTTTTTGATAAAAAATCATCATATTTAATTTTACCATTTTCTTCGTAGAATGGAATAATAATTTTTTCAAATAATATTGGATCTCGTGAGAAAAAATACACATTCAAATTTGAACGATAGTAAACAGATAGACGTATTTTATCTCCTAATAATGTATCAGGATATTTATTTAATAATGAATTACTAATTAAAAATGATTTACCCAGAATGTTAAATAGACAATTACTATCAGAATTAGTACTTTTATTATCAAATGGAATCATCTTAACAATGTGAATAGATTTTTTTTTGTTTTTTTGTCCATTTATAACATTATGATCGAATAATTAGCGCCAAATAAAATAAAGAACTCTTATGATTCGACAAATAACTTCAGTATGTTTTTAAACTCTTTGTCTTTTCATATTTTCAAATGAGAGTAAAGACATTAAATATTATATTTGAAATTTTTTTTTTTTGTTTTTGTTCTAATCTACATACAGTGGATAATAATATGAACATTTTATTGCGTAAAAAAGTTCTTTACTTTCCACAAAAAACATTCCCAAAATGAATAGCACAAAATAACTGTATAGAAATAGTAGAACTATACGAAGAAATCTGTACGCTTGTGTAAAAGAAGCAAAAGAAGAAGAAGAAGAAGGCGGTATAACAAAGAAAAAAAAATGAAAATATGAACAACATTTTGTTTCGTTTAAGATAGACGATACTTGTAGAAAAAGACGTATATAATATTTTCCATGTATTTAGATAATAAAATAAAATATGTTTAAATGATCGCATGTTCACCGGTTGTATAGAAACAGTATTAAATTAATGAAATTTTTTATAAATTATTTAGAAATATCAACAGCTTTACCAGGATCCAAAAATGGTCTACAAAGACAAAAACAATTATATGAGAATATCTTAGTAACGCGTGCGTCTCAGAGTAAATTGCATTAATACAGTTTTCTGTTACTTTCTATTTATAAAAATAAATTCTTTTATATGCTAAATGATAGAAAATTTAATTCTCTACAAGATTGTATATTTATTTTTAAGATTCATCTTTGATGTTTGGTACAGTAAACTCTGACAAGAAAAGCTCCACATTTTTTAACTGCATCACGTAGTTTTAAAGTGAAAACTGCTCTCTTGTTTTAATTGTTTATAGATGAATAAAAAAAAGTTTGAAATAGTTTTATTAACGTCAAATGGAGAAGAATTTTATGCTTTACAAAAGGGTTTACTTGAAGTAAATTTATTTCAATTGCTAGTGGCTTTATTAGACAAACTTCCCAAGTCCACAGAAGTTTCTATCACTAGAAAGATGTTTTGACTATTTCAATGTAAAATCCAAAGCTCAAATCATTAATTTATAGACCAAAAAATTCAGAATTTCGCGCTCTATTATACTGTGTAACTTACGAATGAAACTGCTATTTTTCCATCTGAAAAACTAGGAAATACCAGATGTCAATAAGGATAGGAGAAAATGATCTTTCAAAAGACTCTTTTTCGCTCCGATTTAAAAAAGCAGCTAAAAAAACATTATTTCACATTAAAAAAAAACCATCATATTGTAGAAAATTTCTTGCTCAAGTTTTCTGCTTTGTTGAATAAGTAATTTTTAGCGAGGTTTTGCTCAAAAAATTGGTTTTTTGAGGGTGCAGTTAAAAAATTTGGAGCTTTTCTTGTTAGAGTTTACTGCGTCAAACATTAACGATGAATCTTATAAATAGATATCCAGTTTTGTCGAGAATTAAATTCTCTATCGTTTGACATATAAAGAAAATTCTTTTATAAATAGGAAGTGGTAGAAAAATGCATTCAAATTTACTGCAATTTATTCCAGGGCACTCGTTATATCACAGACGTATACATTTTTTCATTTTTTTTACTTTACTCAATATTTTCGTGATCATTGATATGTCGATGTTTTCTATGTTTTTCTTTTTCATCAATAGAATATTTGTATACAACAAATAGTGCTTGTTTACATAAATCTACAAATCTTTGACAACATAGAAACTCAATTGGACTCATTTCATTTGTACTTTTTATAAGCATCGTTTTCCAAGATCTAAAATAAATTATAAGAGAATTTTTTATTAAAAAAAAAACTTAAAATTTCGAACTTACTTGTCATTATCTTGACATGCTTCCCATAAACATTGACCATTGGCTACTAATAATCTCTGAACTATTTTTGCTATATGTCGACTTATTGTCAAATTTTCAATATCTTGAATAATCCATACTTTTTTAAAGATGTTTTTAACATTATTTGATACAATATTTATGATTGCTTGTCGTTTTTTTCCATCTAATCGAACAAGCCAAAATTCACTAATTTGAACTTTATATAATTTCCAATTTTCAATTATCTAGAGTAAAAAGTAAAGAGTGTGTGTTTGCGTGACAGTTCGCGGTTCCCGTTCTTTGAACGAGAACTATTTTTTAGTTTGCATTCATGAACAGGAACGGTTTTTCAGTTTCCGTTCTGAACTAGGAACAGTTCAGCAGTTCATGTTTCTAGAAACGAGGAACGGTTTACCAGTTCCAATTCCTGCAAACGGAAACTACAGTTTTTTTGTAACTGGAAACTGTATGATATACTTGAGCTTCTTTTTCTAATCTACTAGCCTTCTATCTCCTTTGGCATATTAGTGTATTTTACGGTTCAATATGAATACGACTGTTTATCTGATGTCGTTCCTTTACGTGCTTGTTTCTGACTAAAATTTCACAGAGATACTAACAATCAAAATAGTAAAAACTATCAACATTCATACTTTGTCTTTCAAAAACATAGACATTCTCGTTGTTACTAAAGTTAGTGACAGTCGATTTTTCCTTGTAAAATCATTAGCCTGCGAAAATGTACTTTTGCTAGCTACACTTGTAGCTGGTATTGCTAACCAGTTGATTAAGATCTTAAGAAATAAAAAACTAAATTCAATGAGCAAAGTCTACCACTTAATCTGGGAGTCTGTTTGAGCATATCTCTTTCCAGTACTCACTCTTTCAAAGTCTTATGTTTACGAAATGAAATACATAATACGTCAACAAATCACTAAAGGACACTGGGCAGCTCCAGTTCAAAAGGAACTGTAGTTCCCGTTCGCAGGAACTGGAACTGGTGAACAGTCCCTCGTTTCTAGAAACGTGAACTGCTGGAACGTTCCTAGTTCAGAACGGAAACTAAAAAGCCGTTCCCGTTCATTGAATGCGAACTGAAAAACAGTTCCCATTATCAAGAAACTGCAGTACAAGGAACTATGACCCGTCACAAGCCTAGTGTGTTTCTGTGTGTGTGTGTGTGTGTGTGTGTATAATTGTGTATTATTAAATAACAACGCTATACATACATCTTGACAAACATTTTTTGTATCATCTGCTGATTTGCCTGGATATCGAATGCAGAGCTGTTGCATATGTTCATATGTAAGTTGATGAAGTTTGACAATTTCATCCTCTTTCAATGCTAAATCCTTTAAAAAAAGAAAAATGGATTAAAAAAACCTAAATTATAAATAAAATTGTTTAAACTTACTTTTGTTGTGAATGTTGAAGGATCCAAATGTTGATTTACCTGCTGTTTCTTATAAGCGTTAACAAGTGCTGTATAAGTGACCATATTGGCTTTATCTTGTAATCCAATTTTTTGATTAGATTTTGTTTTTGGACTATTATCAGGTTGTGATGGTCGTCTAGCTGTTATTGATTCTGTTAGACGTCGATTTTGTTCATCATAAAAATGTTTTTCAATAATCGAACTTGCTGGTGTACCACGTACATGATATTGTTCAGATATACTTGTCGTTGTTATCGTTGTTTCATCTTCACTATCCGTTCTATTTGATAATGAATTATGTGTTTTATGTAATGGAGATTTCTTATAAATGGTATTGGGTGTTTGTGATTGAGGTTTTGGTCGTGTAACAATACCCGTTGATATTGATGATGTATTTAATGATACCCGTTTTCTTAATACTAATGGTGATAATGAAGTAGATCGAGTTATAAGTAAGGAATTATTAGTAATACCACCATTTGTTTGTTGTGAACGTGTTTTAAAAAATGCATTTTTCATCGTACGATTTGTTGACGTTATAGAGTTAGATAATTGGGAACCATTTAACGATGATTGTCTTGTAATATGTGTTGTAAGACTATTCGATGATGATGTATTTTTATTTATAAATTCTGTATAATTATTACTTTCAAATGATTGTTTTAATTTATTTTCATGATGAGAATGATGATGATGATGAGGATGGTGATGTTGTTTATCGTGATCATTATCAATAAATTCATCATCACTCATTTCGCTAGCAAAACTAGCTGATGGACTAACACGATCATCATAATGAGTAGGTACCTGAATTATGAACAAATAGAATAAATATCCATTATGGATTTTAGAAGTAACAAGAAGATCGACTGTGAAAATGTTATTTTATTTTTTGTAATCAAAGGACTAATAACTTCTTCGAAGAAATTTGACCTATGCCTTACTAAATATCTTTAGTATTAATACAAATAAGATTGTAGAACGAGACATATAAAGCATTGAAACAAAATACTTCTTTTGTACAGAAAACATGGTGATAAAAAAAAATTTTAATTTTAGTGCTGTGTTTGTGCATAAATTTCACGAAAAACATCAATAATAGACACGATAATAAAAATACTTACATCGATAGTAGTGTTTGTTGAAGAACTTTTGCTACTAGGGGCACTCTGAAAGATTGATGAAGGATTTAAGAGGTAAAAAAGGAATTCTAAAGAATAAGCAACAACTACTAATTGTTGATATTTTTTATATTCAATTAGGTGATAAGAATCCTTTTTTTTTAGACTATTTTAATATTTTTGTTTTTTCTTTGCATTTACCCGTGCTAATCTTGGATTATTCTTTCGATCTGTTTTTTCAGCATCTTCTAATTCTGTTAATGTAGCAAGAAGTTCATCTTCCTAAATTAAGTAACAAAAAGACACTATATTTTTGTTTTATTTCGATATTGTTATTATTCCTACTTTATAACGATCATAATATTTATTCCATGACATATCTTTTTTATTTGAATATAAAACTTCAAAACATTTTGTTAATATTGGCATTAATTCTTCCATACGTACGCTATCTTCAACGGGAAATAATCGAATAAAACCGTTTAGATGACGATTTTCGAATATTTCACGAGCATTTTCACGTTGCATTAAATATAATTTTTCTTTCTTTAAAACAAAACAAAAACAAATAATTCAATTACACATTAAATAACATAAGAATACATTATTTAATCATACGAACCACTTCAATTAATTTCTTTTGTCTTGTTTTAAAACTTTGATTATTTAAATTTGTTGTTGTTAACAAACTTTCATCTAATCGTTTTCCAATATTATAATATAATCGACGTTGAGCTTCTGCTTTTTCAATTGCTAAACTTTTCTTTCGATCAGATATCCTAAAATTAAATAGATATGTTGCCTATTGTTGGAGTTTATTTATTTATTTATTTTTTTTCTATGATCTCTGATCTCAATAAAAAGACATTTCTATCCTATCTAAATCAACTTCAAATCTATTCCATTGCAATAGTGGATGTTACAAACTATAGTACGTGATTTAAGTAAACAGCAGTATGTGTCTGTGCAAAAGTGAACATATTTTTTTGTAGAAAAACAAAACAAAAGAACTTCGGTGCAAATTATACACGAAATATATAGATGTAAATCAATCAAACAAAAGAACCTGAAGCGTAATAATTCAAATGTATCGAGTAACAATTTAACCTTGATATCAAAATCGATTTGTTCATTTGTGCCAAAACTTGGACAACGATTCACCTAAAAATAACGATCTATGATTTTATTATTATCTCTATAAAATAGATTATTACCTCTAATAACCATGGTTTCAATTGTTTATTAATTAAAATATCAAAACCAAGTACTTCAAAACAGACACTTTCACTATTGGGTGCGGCAGCTGGTCGACACATACGATAAGCAGAATATAAATGTGGCTGAGCCAAAAATACTGTTTTCAATATGACATTCTATAACAATAATATTAAATTTAAGAGTAAACAAGAGGTTTTATTATGAAAAATGTTAAGAACATAGATTTTTAGTGACTAAAACATGAGCACTATTGAACAGACTAAAAAATAATATTTATTGATAACGAACCTGAATTTCTTTCCATAATGCATTTGAATCTTGATTATTCGTACGTAAATATTCAAAAAAATATTTCAATGATCTTTTACTACCAGTTTTTGTATCTGCACCACTTGGTTCATAACTTTCATTACACTTATTGACGGAATAATTGGTCAAATGCATAAACAAATGACTCTAAAAGACATATAATTCGATAAAGCATGTAAGAATTTAAAAATCTAGTCTCACGAAGAAACCTTTTCAGGCGTTAATCTTCGATTTCAACGATCTTTTCCCCATAGATCGTATAGAATGGCTTAGCAAAAATCCTAAAAGAATTTTGGCCCCTATTGCTTCATTCAAAAGTTATAAATTTTTCTATTTTACCGATACAGCACATTACATAAAACATTGAAAAATTCAGAACTGAGTGAAAACATGGTATAAAGAACTGAAATTTTTTTCTGTGGCAGTCCTAAATGTCTATTCTAATAGACATTTAGAATAGGTCTGTAACAGAAAGAACAGACCTTTTTAGGGTTTTTACTAGCCCACTCTATAGGGTCTATGGGCAAAAGATCCTTGAAATCGGAGGTTGGCATCCGAAAAGATTCTCTCGTCAGTGAAACATCTTGTATCAAAAAGACGATCTCCTAACAACTAACTAAACGTATATAATTTTTTAAAATGCAGAATACAATGTACTTACTGCATTTTTTTTATTTGGTATTTCATATTTTTCAGTACTCATTCGAACAAGTCCATTATTAAATATAAATACTCTTAGAGGATCTGATGATGTAATTAAAGCATATATGCGTAAGTCTAAAAATAAAAACCAAACTCTAATTATTGTAACTTCATCATAAAATATATCATTATCATTTACCAAATTTATATCCATCGATTAAATAGGGATCTTGTATATATTCTTGAACAATATAATTATCCAACGGTTGAATACGATCAATGTCACAGTGAACTTGTATTCTAAATGGAAAAAAAAATGTAACAGATTAAAAAGTTATTGTTTTTTTTTCTATTGAAATTAAATTATACCCGTGTCCCATAGCACCATTTGAAGGTTTTACAATATAAGCGGGAGGAGTTTTCGATTGACGATGATGAGATGCATGAGAATACCAGAGATTATATTCGTTGGGTAATACCCAAGTACGCGGTGTAAAATTAAAATGTTCAGGTAATAAACGAGATAATCTACAATATTAAACATATTATTTATTTACGTAATATAAAAAAGTCATAAAAATACCGTTCAAAATTTTTTGCTAATAAATCTTTTCGAGAAATTTCACTCATTGTTGGAAAATGATTAATTTTTTGATAGGGTTTCAATTGAGATACAATGTCCATTGATATCAAAGTATCATTCCATAATAAATTACTAAAAATAGAAAAATTTCCTATACAGTCGTCATACGATGTTGGCTTTCAACTTTGTATACGTACGCTGTAAAATCATTATCAGCACCTATGTTAAATCCAGAGGCATCAGCTGCTTTTCGTACTAAAAGTAAAGTTAAAGGACTAATGATCTGTTCTTTCAATGAATTTCCTTAAGGCATTTTTTCTTCTAAAGTTTTTCTATTATTTGATGCATTCTTTGTGCTTATACAATTGTTTTTGATTGCCTTCTATTGAAGTCTCTGAAAAATAGTTCTACATAATTTTTAAGTGCTTTAAGATTTGCGGTTGAATATTAAAACTGAGAAAAATATTAACTATTTGTTTTTATTTTAAATGATATAAAGAAGTGAGGAATAGGAACTGATTAACGAGGAAGGAAGATGTCATTTGATCAATTAATAGAAATAATTCTTATCGTGATCAACTACATCGTTACATATAAAAATAAATGATTCATTTCAATTATACTGAAACATATTTTGAAAATATATTGAAAACATATTTGATGTTAACATTGCAATAAGCAACTTCCTCCTATATTATAACTTTAATGACCTATTAATNATATAAAGAAGTGAGGAATAGGAACTGATTAACGAGGAAGGAAGATGTCATTTGATCAATTAATAGAAATAATTCTTATCGTGATCAACTACATCGTTACATATAAAAATAAATGATTCATTTCAATTATACTGAAACATATTTTGAAAATATATTGAAAACATATTTGATGTTAACATTGCAATAAGCAACTTCCTCCTATATTATAACTTTAATGACCTATTAATTAAACTATTCGCAAATCAATCAATCATGGCGTGGAGCTAGTGTTCAGACAATTTTTGGCTAAAACAAACACCGACAGTAACGACTCATCAACAAAATTTTGGACACGGAATGATCGTTATAGTATAAGTACTTTTCATATGTTGACTATTATACCATTATCGGTATATTCTTTCAATGTGCTATTCTGAGCCACAACGTTCTACTTCCTACTTATGAAGTACATTAATTATATTTTCATTCATGTGTAACTAATCGATAAAAAATAGACTGTGAGTAATAGAATATGTCTATATCGCTTACAAAACTTTTATATATAAAAACTTTATACTCAATCTTTGACTATAGACAAAAACAAGACATATCGGTAAGTCTTTAAATACTCTTTTATATTCTTGAAAAGAGCCGTTATCGGCGTTAACCTGTTCACATGTATTCAACAAGTACAGAAAATTTAGCAGTTGCGTCCAACTTATTCTCTGGTGAGATAATATACGAACGATAGGAACGGACAATTATTGTTTGAATTTATTAACTTAATGATGATAGTGAGCGATTTGTGTACGCGATATCTATATCTTATCATGACTTATTTTTATCACATCGATTCAAACGTTGTCTTGTTTCTTCTAAATAATTTTTTCAAATTTTGAATTTGTTTACGAGTTCGAATTGTGTATTTTTATTAGACAAAGTTCTATATCTTTTGACAATTTGTTTAAGATAGATAACTGCTTATTTCGTAATTGATTAAAGTACAACAATCTATCAATTATGACTCAGTTTCAAACTCAATATTTAACTACTTATTTATTTAATCCAAATTTTCTATCAACTCAATTATTTTTGTATCCTACACAAAATGAATGGAATGACTATCATATACCCTCAAGATGCATGGAACCCAAAAAGAATTATTAACAACTAAAAAACTCCAATATCAAACAGTACAATCATTCTTCGACCGTCATCAGTATGGCTATAATAATGATGGAGGTGAATGGTTCTAAGTTTATTTTGATCCAAGACATAGTTAATAAGATTTTATCCTAGTTAATTTCTTTTTCGTGCAAAGAATAATCGACAATATTTAATAAAGAAGGTCTAAGATTATTTTTTTGTGGGACAAATTTTTCTCTTTTGAAAACGCTAATCACACTAATCGTTATAAAATTGTACTTCCATTCTATTTCGACAAAAATAGAAGCAAAATAACTGAAAACGAACAGTCTGTGGTCTCCTGGCTGGAACTATATGAACACTTATGTTCTACGAAAAAATTACTGATATATCTTGACGATGCAGTGAGCCTCCATTTTTTTTTCCATTTTTTCAGATTGAGACTCGAATTTAACTTATGATGTTCTGACTCTGTACAGTAGAGATGTGCAGGACAGCTGATTTTTGTACCCTGAGCCCTACTCTATGGCTTCGATGTTCTTGCCCTGTACTGTCGTATGAAAAATTTCTCGAATCGTGTTTCATTTCCAATATGGCATGTAGTTTATTTAATTCTACCAAAAATACATGTATAAAAATGTTGTGCTGTATTGATCGTAGGCAACAAAATTGTTTTAGAAAAAGGCCTATGCTCTGTCCGGCCTCACGAATCTTGAGATCTAGTCCTACCCTAACCTAAAATCGACCTGCACATCTCTACTGTACAGTACACAGCATTTCAAAACTAAAGCATCGATCGATTAGTTCTCCAACAACGGCTTGTAAGTAGGTTTAATGCTAAGAAGTTGATAACAAATAAAAGTGTTTATTCCATTTGATGAACGATTGCTGCTTTTTTACGATTTATCAGTTGTTTTTACAATGAGTAAAACAAACACTGATAAGTTGTTTCTCGCAAATACAAATAAAACAATATTCAGGTATCTGCATAATGATGGAACTCATGGTATACTATCGTCTCTATTAAAAATCTAGCCCGATAATTACAAGTTCGATCTGGACCAAACTTTCAGAGAGCATTGTTCATATTAAAGTATGGCAACGAAAGTTTTTTAGGCTCCATATGCCGTTGTTTGTGAGAAAATACCACAACAGTGGCCAATATACAACTGTGTACATTTTCTGGAAGTCTTCATTCAACAAAAATGCTGAATGGTCCGGCTTACATTAGTATGAAATTTTTGAAGCTGACACATATTATAACAGCGTACAAGTGCTGGATTTTTCAATGTCAGTCGAGTTTTTCATAAAGCTAAACAATTCTGAAAATCTTAAACCGAATTTTGGATTTTTTTACTTGTGGTATCTGTTAAACAGAACAAAACAATTAAAAATCCAGTTCTTGTACGCTGTTGTAATATGTGTTAGCTTCAACTTAATTCTTCAGCATTTTGTTTAATGAATACTTTCGAGAAATGCGAATAGTCCGCAATGGAAAACAGCCCTCATGTATTTATTCGTTGTAATACTTCATGGATTGTAGGAAAATGTCTGTAACTCTTTAGCACAAAGGCACAAAGAGTTGAACGACGTTCTGTTCTGACAAGTAAAGTTTGCTCTGTGAATCTGCATACATGGAAGAAAATTAAGTCGATGATACGACAACAACCTCTCTTACAGGCTCATTTCTCTGCAACCATGAAAAATCGCTTCTAAGATAGAAAGAGATATCGACTCTGAAAATGAACACTCCCGACTATTGAGCCATGTGTCTGTCGTAAAATCAATATTACTGACAAAATTTGTCGTTTTCAAAGAGGAAGGGAGGAGAGCTGACCTAAGTTGAACATTTTCGGCATGTCCATTACACAAATGTTAGTCACTGGGCATAATTACCATTATCAAGAATTCCCTTAATACCCTAAAATAATGGTTCATTTTTATCAAACATTTTCAATGTCAATAGTAACAGATCGTTATAAGAAAGACTATATTATTTTTCATTTACACTATATGAACACTTTCCATTTGAAAAACTCATATTGATATACAAAATTAATGAACTCCTACTTAAAGCGATCAGCAACAAGAATTATAAGCTCAATTAAAAGTCGTTGTCATTGGATACAGATGTTGGTTCCTAGTGGACGAAGTGCTTGTATGTTTCTCACACACAGATTATAATATTTTGATGATACACTAGTATAAACTCGAAACATGAAGTAAATACACTATGGATCATATGGCAAAAATAAATAGGGAACGCTGTTTCGAGATCACTTCCAAATAATATTATTTTTCTTATGACAGCAACAATCTTTTTTAACGAGATTATTGCAAGAGGAAAACAGCTGATTTTTGACCTTAAAAAATCGGTTTAAATCGAAAACCGCTAAAAATCGTTAAAAATCGATAAAAAATCGCTTATGATTTTATCGTTTTTTGCTTTACTTTCACTATGTCTGATTCACATTTTGTACAAATAAAGCAGGTTCAGCACTATTTATCGCAGTCTCTTTACCTGAAAAATCCATGAAAATCGAAAAACCCCCAAAATCAGCTGTCTTGGATTATTGACTTCATTTGGTGATGAAAAATGCAACAACATTATTTAATCAAAATAAAATCATTGACAAAAGTATTGGAGAAACCTGAGACCATTTTGTTTTTAAACTTCGGATACCATTCTTGTAAGACTTTAATCAAATTCGTATATACGATTCGGCCACGATTGTGGGAATTATTCCGTACGAGACTTATAAGAATTTGATAATTATTAAAAAGATTCTAATTCTTGTACTTACGAACATATTAGTTTATCTCTTGTGACTCAAGAAGTTTATATCGTCAATGTGGAAAAAGAACTGTCTTTGGTTGTTTAGAACTGTTGGTCTACGATGCTCGATTTTGAAGTGAAAGCAGTCAATACACTATATTCATGTAAGAGAGATGGAACAGCTTATTAGAAATTGATTGAGAAAAAAACCAGCAACAGACGTTAAAACTAGAGAAGGCTGAGATACAGTCGTAGATTAGGAGAAATAGGTAAGATTTGGATAAGTGAGTTACAAAAATTGTATACGATATTTATACGACTGGATTCTCAAAAAAGAACCTTATGAAATACTGAATAAATTCTTATAATTTCGTACGGAATAATCATCATACATGGCTGAACCGTATATACGAATTTCATAAGACTCTGCTAAGGATCTTACTTGGCTCGGATAAAATTCATATAAATTTCAACTTCATATCAGTTAAGTACATAAGATTCAATGTCTAGAGAACATCCGAAGCAATAGAATAAATAACACTTACCAACATTGAATTTTGTACCCGATACATTGGCAATTAATCCTCGTTTTTTCTTCTGTCTATAAGGTAACTCTTCGATAAATGAGCGTGGAAGTTGTTGTTGTTTTGAATGTTCATTACCAATAATACTTAATAGATGAAGAAATTCATCAAAATTAACCGTATCTTCTTTCAACATTGTAATATCGAATTTTTTTAATAAATTGTTTATAACAGGATTATCACGTTTCAATCGTTCAAAAATATTTTTAATTTCATTTTTACTACGAGTAGTCATCGATGCATGAAACATAATTTGTGTCAAATTGAGTAATTGAGATTTTTGTAGATGAGTACGTTGATTTGTATCAGAAAATTGTTTTATAACAGTTTCATAAGTCATTTTTGGATTACGAGAGCGTCGAGCATAATGATAATGTTCCATGACTTCTCGCCATATACTAACAAGACTTCCGATAGTCGATGCTGAATAACTGGCTGAATGAAATATTTTCATTAAATTGTACATTTCTGATCTTTTTAAAGCAGTTATTTCGTTTTCTTTTAACGATGTAAATACATTTAAACGTGCTGAAGGTAAACGTTTTATAGATGAGGAAGGTCTTGATTGTAGAACATGGCGATTTTCTACAGCTGATTTTGTTTTTTGAAGAATATCGTGACATAGTTCAACAAGGTTTTCGATTCCGAGAACTTTTAAGCGATATTTTTCATTTGGATCCATTGTTGTTGAATTTGTCGGAGAATTCCAATTACCTGCAATTAAAATGGATTTGAGTGATGTTGCTGAAGGTGATCTTGAATATCGCCGATATGTATCTTCATCATCGTCTCGAGATCTCGCCAATGGATTATTTTCTGCAAGTTTTCTAATACCATAATTGGAAGGGGGCTCTTTGGCTAACGGATTATTCTCAACCAATCTTCTTATACCGTACTGTCCACTATCTTCATTGTTGTGTTCAGCTAATCGAGATAAACGTGGTGTTAATGAACTCACTGGCGGATATTTTTGAGATACTGCCGCCGTTTTTTTAATTGATGCGTTCGAGTGATGACTATCAAAACGAGACGCTGTTTGCGATGGTGGATAATGGCTTTTGTCATATCGATTGAGTGATGGATCATTTAACGTTTTATAATTGTATAAGCTGTTTAACGTGTCATTTCTTGGCTGCCCAGCGAGTGTGGTAGATGAACGCATCGACCTGAGTTCGGATGGTCTGGAAAACAAAAAACATAGTATATTTATCAGAATCACCCAGAAAGACTCGATCTGTAAAAATCTTTGCAGAGTCTGCAAAGATTCTGTAATACAGATGTGCTAAGATTTGGTCTGATGCAGATCTGTAAAAAACTCTTTAGTTTCTCTGCAGATTCTTTGCAGATTTTCCAGTGTGTTGTGAGTTCGTGGGATATACATTTATTTCATATATTTCAAATGTTTTGACACAAATATACAAACAAAAAAAAACTGTAAAAGTTTGCAGTTTCTCTGCAAAGAACCTTCAAAGAAAAAGTAAAGATTTTTTGTAGATCTGCATCAGATCTTTGGTCAAATCTTGGTACATCTGCAATGCAGATATGCTTCAAATCTGTAAAAACCCTTTGCAGAATCTGCAAAGTTACTGCAAAGATTTTTGCAGATTTATGTTGCAGAAAAATCACCTGGGCAGTTCAACCCTTTAGATTTTCAGTTTTACATGTTCTTTTTCTCGTTAATACGACACTTACCTGTTGAGATAAACAGTTATTCTTATTGTAATTAGAAAAGGTGACTCGCTAATTCGTCTCAATCTATTGTCTCTGCAAAAATTCGTCTCTGTATTTTATGTTTCGTACAGTTCATCCCTGCACTTTTTGTCACAAGAAATTCGTGTCAGACAAAGTATCTCATAATATTCGTCTCACAGTGTAAAACGAATAGTCTGATTCTATGATGAGACGAAATGACGAGGAAGAAATTTTCCATGCGACAAATTGTTCGAGATTAAAGAGCAAAAGATAAATTTCTCAGACACGAATACTTTTTAAAAACAAATCGACTGCGACGAATTCTTATAGTACCATCAAAGAAATATAATGTGTTATATTAATTAAAAAAGAACTGGCTTAAATATGGCCAGAAAATTCTATAAGCCTTTTGAATAATATACGAAACAAGCTCATCAAATCCTTTGTAATGCAGGTGGATTTGTTCAAAGGGTAAAAATTTTAATGTACTCTTCCTAATTCAATTTAGACTGCTATCGGGTACTTCTACAGAATATTCACTCTCTATACGTAGGTTTGAGTGAGAATGAAATCAATCTGAAGTACTTGCTGTCGTGGTTAATAAAACTTTGCGAATATGTTTGGCTTATAAAAGAAAAGCAAACAAACACACTATTATTTTTCTTAAGGCAATATTCATTCATACCTAGTACCTTTTCCGTTGCCCAGCATTGCCTCTTGCGTTTACATTATATACAAGTGAGTACGCATTATAGCTTAAAGAAAACACAGAAAAAGAACGTCACCAAAGTCCAAAAAGCAGCTGTTGTGAACTAGAAGTAGTTCACAGCAATGCTCTAGATGGCGCTATGCATCGAAATCAAACATTACTAAACACAATTACCATGGATAACCACAGTAGTCTTCAAAATCGATAATAAAACTAACACTACCTTATACATATGTGTAAGGTGGTGTTAGTCTTATTATTGATTTTGAAATTCTTCACCATTAGACATGATGCACAGTAGTCTTTAATAACAGATCGACATGTGAGATACACTTATTTCTATAAGTTCTTGTAAAGGAGCCAGCTACGGCTTGATAGAAATGCCAAAGGTATTTGCAACTATGCGTGAAACGACCAAAATTAAATCATATCAAACCACAACAGTAGCGCTTTTGTAAATATAATAGGATACTTCTACACAGTTCCACCCATTTAATACACAAGTGCGAGCCGCGAAATTTTCTTTGTATAGATTTTCTACAGAGCCCTGCAGGTTAAACCTAACGTAATCTAACCTATAGATTAGGTTAGGATTAGGTTACAAAAGTTACAGGTTAGGTTACGTTGTAGGTTGTGTTTTAATTTTTTTCGATTTCTTTCTACTGTTAGGCAGGCGAAATTTTTTCTGGTTTTGAGCCCTTTGAAAGACAAAAAACTCAATGATATGTATGGTTTACTTTTGTCAAATATGCGTGTAACGTGATGTGGGTTGAAAACAAAAATCATATGATAGATTAGGTTAGGATTAGGTTGTGAAATTTTTTATAGGCTAGGTTATGGCTTGCCAAAAAGTGACAACCTGCAGGACCCTTGCTTCCTAGTAGTGGTGAATTAAAGTGAAAGCCCAGTTGGCGCCGGAAAAAAGACATGTGGAACAGAGTTTCACTCGGGAAACCCAACTTTTGTAGTGACCTCTTATCGGTCAACTTTCAGACCAATTTTTTCTGTAACCAAACACTTTGTACCGCTTCTCCTTATTTCTAGTTAAAGACGAAGCGATTTGTACTATTATTGCATGTTTACTATTATTACATGTTCTAGTATGATCTGACGAAGCAGGATTCGGATGTAAAATATCCCAGTTAAGAAACAGTTAACTGTAAGCGGAAAACTGCAAAACTGCAAAGCGGTAGAACGATAAAACTGGTATTGGCTAGAAAGCAGTGTATGCGTCTGGCATCCGACAGTTTCGCTGTTAGTGTTTTCTTGAAAGACAAGATACAAGATTAAATCGCAAACTTTGCAGTTACAGTTGACCGTAACTGGTGTGCATGCCTACACCCATATAGTTAATTAAAGTCTGTAAATTGTTATATGACCTAAAAGTCACTCAAAGGTCTGGTAACTGCTTGCTTCTAAAAAATGTTTGATACGTATTTTTTCAGAGTCCAAGAGCTGTTTGATCTATTTTTTCAAATCAGAATAGAACCTCACACTGTGTTACATGGAAATCAATCCGTAAAATGGCTTATTTGAATTTTTCACTCGTGGATGGATGCACACAGAAGAAGAGGAATACCCCGCCCTACGGCTGCTGTTGTCGGTGAAGGATTATGAGACAGTCGGTTTTAGTAACCTTGTATCTTTTCTGGAACTAACAAGCTTCTGAAATGGTCACCCATGTTATTCCTAGTTATCAAATACAGTCCTGTCAAGGAGAGAGGCGAAAATTTTCTACTTTTTTCAAGTGAATCGATCCCCGTTCAAAAACGAAGATAGTCATTGAACTATCGACTTCTTTTGTTGAAAAGACAAGAGTTTCCAGGTAGATTTTCATCTAACATTATCCGAGGTTTTATTTTGATTTGACCGAACCGTTTATTGTGAGAAGACCGCAAAACTTTCAGTCGTTGGAATATTGGACTAGTCATATAGCTACTGGTTTTGAGGAAGCTTTTCTGACACTTCCCGTCTTTCGAATTCATCAAGGTATTTGATGTTACCATCGATGTCTCCAGGATCGATATTGGGCACTTTGCTTTTTCCAATACTCATCAATGATTTTCTAAATAATCTGGAAAGCACGACTTTTCGTTATAACCAATATCGTCATAGATTATGTAATTACAATATAACCATCTCGGTCTCACGCTAACTCAAAAGCTTGGCTGGGCCATATACTGATTATTTATTAGCTGAAATATCATATCGCTACAACGACTTTAGATGCAATGAGGGGAATTTCGTATGATAAAACATATGTAGAATTTGATTGGATCATTTTCCAAAAAGCAGAATGAATACACCGTTTCTATAAACTATGGTCAATTTAATATTGATTCTTTAATTAATTCATTTAATATTAATTCTTCCATATAGTAGGGGGAAGAGTGACACTGAGCGACCTTCTGGAGCAGAGGTCGCTAATGGATTTGCAATAAAACAACCTTGATTGTACGAATTCGAATTTTCTGACAACATTCAGAAGATGAAAAATAATAGCGAAACACTAAAAATAAGAAACTGAATTGACAACATATGACTTTGTTGTTTGATAACTTTTAAAAGTTTTCTTCCAAGTTTAATCCAAGTCCGACTCTTCCGAACCCAACCCTAAGCCTACCAAGCCCAAAACTCTAGAAAAAAAATGCGACTTTGGATCAAGTTTAGTCACGTTAATGTGTCTTCATCCTCTGAAAGGCGACACATTAATGTGACTAAACTTGATCCTATGTCGTATTCTTTTTTAGAATGAAAAGACGAGCGAAGTCCAAGTGCTTGGACTTGTAACATCCCTATTGCTTACGATCCTCCTGAAATTTCATTCGATCAGGCTGGAATTTTTACTATCAATACAAAACACTATTCTCCAGGTCGTCGATCGGATGAAATTTCGAGGGGAGGGGGGCGGTAGACGTAAGCAGTGCAGATTAAAAAGTGAGATTTCTAGAAAACTCCTGTAAGGAGGGGCTTGCCTGATTTGTTTTGAAAAGAAATAAAGCTTAGATTAAAACTAGGTTTCAAACATTTTTAGAAGCAAGCAGTTACCAGACCTTTCAGTGACTTCTAGGTCTTGAAAATAAATGTGAAAATTAATGACTATTTCTTTTAACATTTAGACGATTTTGTCAGAAAGCAATCGTTGCAAGATTTCATGGATTGTAGGAAAATGTCTATAACTCTTTAGCACAAAGGCACAAAGAGTTGAACGGCGTCCTGTTCTGACAAGTAAAGTTTGCTCTGTGAATCTGCATATATGAAAGAAAATTAAGTCGATGAAGTACCTACGACAACAACCTCTTTTACAGAATCATTTCTCTGCAACCATGAAAAATCGCTTCTAAGATAGAAAGAGATATCGACTCTGAAAATGAACACTCCCGACTATTGAGCTATGTAGCTATCGCAAAATCAATATTATTGACAAAATTTGTCGTTTTCAAAGAGGGAGAGGGCCTTAAGTACTCAAATACAGATATTAGAATGTTTGCTTTTTGTACGTTTGTTATCGAACTACTTGAAAATGAAGGTAAGTTTTTTTCACATTATTGCGCTACAATGAATAAAATCGATAATCTAAATCTGACCATGAATTTGAAGTATATCATGATCACACGCATGCATAAACGTATTATATCACTATACAAGTATGTGTGTATATCAAGCCATAATCGAGTTATATTAAGTGTGCTGAACATTGTCATATCTCTCGTCTATAATTATGTTTCTCTTTAATCAAACTTATGATTCGCCTAATAGTTTTCAGTCACCACCATTTCAATTAAATTCTAATTGTCCATTAACGATGTCATTATTAACCTTTGCTTCAAGAATTGGTGGTATAATTGATCAAACGTTCCTTTCAAAGTGCACTATCGATAAAAAAGTAGAATCGTTTATAAAAAATCTGAAGCCAGTGCCGGCATCAAATGATTATCTTTCATATCAACCGGAACCGTTTTATAACGCACATGTTTATATTGATCCAGACCTTGGACATTCAGCAACGTATGGGTTTGTTAGTCATCCCGATGAATTTGTAACATTTGGCTCACAAACTCTAGAACAGTTGGGTGCAACAAACTATAGGGACTTATCAGCGAGAAAACAAAATTATGATCACAGAAAATCATCATCAATTCGACTACCACCACCAGTACAGAAACCAGATTTGATTATCGAATTACCTGCAGTCAAAATTCCTATTAATATGGAAGCCCATTTTCAAGACGAAAAATTTAATTTTTCACTGTAAACAGATGTAAGTTTCTACATGAACTAGGCTATTAGATCGTAACTCTGGTTTAGTAAAAGTCTGAGGCTTTTTTTGGATACTGGAGAATAAAACTCTACTCAATTTTTCAGGGTTGAAGTTGAATTATTTTCGCCTTCAAATCTCTTTCTTTCAGTTAGCTGTTTAACTCGATAGCAGACATAGTTATCTCTCGACTTCTCTAGGTTTTTTTAAAGTTTTACTATTCAATGTTTTTTTCTTAAGCTTGTATCAATTTATAGACCATACGTTTATATTTATACAACGTTTTCCACGTACTTATTTAAACAAGTATAAGCTGATTTTAATAAATTGTTATTTTACATTCACATCTTTGTTTATGTAAATTTCATCTGTAGGATGTTAGTCACTCGATTGTCTTTTATTGACCATTTTTTTATATTGTCTTTTAAATATATAATTAAAACTATTTTCCCTTCGTCTGCTGTAAATGTGTTTTATTTTAGGTTTCTCAGCGACAGTTATCCAAATAACCTTTATGATGTTAGAAAGTAGTAATAAACTATTAATGCTGTTCATTATAAACGTTTTTATAAGAAGTTTTAAACGGTTGTTTCCATATCTGTTTAAGGTATTTTTTCTAGAACTTAAAAAAATGATATTTTTTTCTAGTGAACAATTATTGAGTTGTTCAGTTTTCTATTCGCATACTGAAGACACTTACAAATTTTAGAATAATAATCTACAGTATTGCATTTGTTGTCGAAAATTCACGAATTTTACAGTCAATGCAAAAGTTTCAACTCCATAACCTTTTCAACACGTTAATTTCTATGATGTTCAATTATAATCCTATATAAAGACGATTATATACAGACTAATCAAAATCTTAAAGAAAAAAATGTTGCTTGCTTAATGTTCTTTCCTTGATTCTATTTGATAAATACAGTGATTCGCATCAATAAACTTTCTATCCATAGTATCTTTTTTATTCCCTGAACAATAAAAAAAGTTTTACCATACTATTTTACATAAATCACAACCATATTTTAAATAACCTACCGTACATAACTTAATCAAAGGAATAAAGAAAAGAATAAAAAATAACTACATACACACACAATGTCCGGTGTCGATCAAGCAATGTTAGATAAAATGGTCAATTTATACGATAAAAAAATGACGAACGGACGAAGTAACGGCACGTCAACTATTAATACTAATCCATCTCTTTATACACCATTATCAACATTATCAACATTAACAATGAAAACGGGTTTTGAATCAATAAATACTGCACCATCACAAATTACTAGAAATAATTTTAACTATCAATTGGTTGCGGATCCAATGAATTTACCGAACGATATTCTGTCTGGAACTGATGGTGCATACATAAATGCACTTTTTGATGATCCATCTCGCTATCATTTGAATGATACAGTGTTAGCTGGCGGAACAGTTCGTCAGCAATCTTTAGACTCATCCACATTTCAATACCATCAACCTCGTATTGAAAAAGTACTAAAACCCGATATACTACGCTTTACAGATGATACAAATTTAGAAGAATACGAAAACGATGAAGACCATTTAATGCGTTATCCTGATGTTAAACCATATTTAGAAGTAATTAGTGGAAGAAATTTTAATCTTCCCGATGTTGGCATGATGACTCAACCATCAGAAGAAGTCAGACGTCTGTTACAAAAAGGTAAATTGAAAAATTTGTATGGATACATTGATTATCAATACAATTATATTGAACCACCATGGCATTTCGATAGTAATGATGAAAGGCGTGGTATTGTAAATCATAATCCTCCACCGGCTGCAATAACTATTAATGATTTACAACATACAGATACAGACATATCTTATTCTCATACGCTACCGCAGTCAATTCCAAACAATGTGGTTCATAATGAACGATATGACTGGGCACCATTACCAACACTGTTGTACGAAAATTTTGTACCCTTGCTTCCAACTCGACGTCTAATATTTCGTCGCGATATGCATGCACGAGATTTTGCATTTCACACGCAAAATCCACGATTATACTCAAATTCAACAACGACAAATTCGATGATAGACTATTATGGTCAACCATCACCGAGAATTCATTCAAATTTCGAAAATATTCCATTCGATATGGATGGATGTAGGTGCTAATCACCTATCATAATCCGAAGAAGTGACATATCGATATTAATAAACAGATTTATTCGTCATTTGAAAAGTATACCAAGATTTAATTCTAGATTGGATTTAATGACTCTTTGGCAAAGAAATTTGAAACTTTCTATTTTCTGCTAATAAATCTCAATCATTTTAGGAAGAAGATCTGACGAAGTAATAGTGCTGCTATTTTTATCAGTGATACACTGAAATTTTTTATTAACTCGTCACTTCTTTCTTTTTTGCTGATTATTGGTAAGTATGTATGAAATTAAACGCAATAAAATATCGTTCTATGAGAAAATAGTTAGAAAAAATACAAAATATTTTGTATCAGGTTTCGTAGCTGTGTATGTTTTCCAAATAACAATATATGAACGCTTTTGTCGGTATAGAGATGATGTTGGCGAAACAAATGTTCTATGCATAATATTTCGTCGAAATTATTTATCTCTCACATTAAGTATGCTTATGTGCAATTAAGTACCGTCAATAGATCAACCAATTCAGTTGATGTATCTGACATTTTATACCAAAGGACAGTTTTTTATGATTGTAAGAAATATAATGATCACTTACAATACAACCTAAATGAGCAAAAAAAAGAGCTTTTGACAAGCGGTTTGCACCAAATATTGTCCGCTCTCTCTACTATATTTGTAGATAAAAAAGTTAGAAATATTCATTGTTACTCTTTGCAGGTTCATTAGACTGAAAAGTCTATCGGCTGATCTAGTTTTCACATTTTGTCGGTACTTATACAAGGAAAAAAATAGATTTTTATCAACTGTAGGGAAAATTTTTGCCGACCTGAAAAAGTTCACTTTTCAGGTTAATGAGCCTACAAAGAGCAAAAGTGAATATTTCTAACTTTCTTATCTACAAGTATACTAGAGCAAGCGGTCAATATTTTGGTGCAAACCGCTTGTGAAAAGCTTTTTTCCTTACCCAGATATGATCAAAAGAAGAAAAAGATTGGGGTACACGGAAAGTTTTTGCCGCCACTGTAATTATGAATGTAATCGTAACAATAATATATTTTGTAAAATTTGGATTAGTTACACAAATTATTTGTAGAATGATATTGAAAAAACATGTTTACATGTTACAATCCTTCAGTAAACCTCTGGCAGATATGGTTACACTCTTCTCTTCCACTTGATCATGTTATATATTTGATTGACTTTAAAAGTTTCATTACTTTAATAATACGTATAGTGATGCTATTGTTATTTAGTTTTAGATTATTGTCAATTTTTAATGTTAAATTACATTTTAGACATTTTAATTGAGAATTAGACATGTTCAATCCTATGAAATACCTCATGTTTTTGTTAAAATGTTCCATACTACATTCGTCTTTATCATTTGTTTATCCAAATGTAAGCTGTTTTTGTCTCTTAAACAACTTCTTATTCGTTTTTGAACGAAATATTTCGTCTTCTGTTACATTGCAAATTTTATTTAGCCTCCGGCTGGTCCAGACGTCACGGGGTTACGTTTCTGACGCACTAAACTTCGGTTATCTCGGAAACTAAAGTAGCTAGAACGTTCGTTCAAACGTCAATCGACGCAGTTCATAATGTTCTACGTATACTGTGAAAACGAAGTTTTTTGGATATTGCATTGGGTTTTGAGAAGGATTTTAGTGTCGCGTAACGGCGTTACGAAAAAAGACCCTTTTTTTCGAGCGCTTTTAGGAATTCTTTAATTTCCTGTGAAGTTAATTATGTGAAAAGGAAACTTGTAGAGAAAAATTTATAGAGTAATTGACGCGCTGTCCCATGGTAAAAAGAAATATAAAGGAATATATTTGATCGATCTGCGCAAAAATCAAGTTGCTGTATCAAAATAAGAGTTCAAAAACTGGACAATAAGTCGGAAACTGTACGACTATGTACAAATTGTACATAGCAAGTAAACTCAAAAACAAATACGCCATTTTGTAGAGAATTCAATTGTCTACAAAACTATATTTTTAGAAATTTAGTTTTAAACAATGTTTTTGGTTAAAACATTAAAAATTCGGTTTCAAACCAAAAAGTTCAAAACCAGGTTTTTTGGATGAAAAATGAACTTTTTTGAAAAACGAGTTTCAAACGGGTTCTAGAATAAAAAGCTGCATCTAATCATGTATTCAAAACTTTCGATATCGAAAAAAAGTTTTTCAAAAACTTGATCAGCGAAGCGTACCGTTACGTGGACAAGTCGCCTCAAAGAAACATTGCTTAAATTGACATTTCTTATATGTTTACAACTGTTCATCTTTGGATCGTTTGTATTCAATCAGTTTCCCCTAATGAATAACTGTCTACCTTCTTGAAATTACTGACAGAAAATCTAATCTAATCTTCTTAGTATCGTATATTTCTTTTAACGTATTAGAACAAGTTGAGAATATTCCTAATATTTCTGATGTGTTTTAAGGCCTTTTGTGTGCCTTTATTGGTTTTCCAGGTAACCAACAACCTCCAAAACTCGAAAAATTCTCGATTTGACAAAAAACTAAGGCCTAATTCAAAAACCGACGACGGTCAGTCGATGTAGTTTCTTTTCCTCTTTGAAACAAAAAAAGAATGAACTCTCTACGATAAACCGCTATTAAACTCTTGGAATGGGCTGCAGGTGTAACTCTTATATAGTGAAAACGCTGTATTAAGCAATGTATGAAATACTCGATTTTATGACTTCTAGGAAAATGCCTGTAACTTTTGAATGCAAGGTCATAGAGAGTTGTGCGAGGTCTTATTTTGATCAGAAAAGTTTGCTCTACAAAGCCGTATTTTCAGAAAAATTTTAATTGCATTACTATCCAGGAAAAATTATTATTTGAAGACACGGTTTTACGAGGCTCTTAGAAAACTTGCTAAAAATCCCCGAAAAAACAGTTTTGCAACCAAAAGCAATACAGATTCTGGAAGTAGACACTTCAGGCTATCTTTCTATGTGCGTATCCCAAAAACGATTTTTTGACCGAAAATTACTATTTCTGAGGGGGCCCTTAATAGTTTTCATTTTTAATGAATTCAAGGATGTTCGCAAGGAAATTGCAAATATAACAGATTCTAACGCTTTTGCTAGAATTGCAGACTTCTTCTTTCCCTCTTGTATGACATAAATTAACTGATCAACATCATGAGAGAAATATAAGGTCTACCTTTCGTTCAGTACTGATTCTTCTTGTTCTTGCTTTTAACAAAATAACAGGTGGTCCAGATTAAACTGTCGGCCTTTGCAAGGCTTTTTCTCAGGTTAAGCTTGATCAAAAAAGTTCGTTCGGATTTTAAAAGATAGGGAAGCTTGCCTACAATAAAGTGTAATTTTTAATATTCAAACCAGTTTTGTTGCGCGATTCAAACAAGACATTAAGAACTAGAATAAAGTCTTAATATTCAAAACTAAATTTTGGGACGATGTTTAATAGTCATGGAAATCGCTTATAAATATGTCTCTTTATCTGAGTTTTGGCGCCTCCATTGTATCAGTAAATATCCCAAATTCATCATTTATTACCACAGACAGTAAACCATAGAAAGAAGGACATCTGCTAGACCTTGAAGTTCTGCATCTGCTCATATTAATAAAATAATTTTTTTTCCTCAATTTTTGCAAAACACCGCCAAAAATCTCATTGGTCGAAGATGTTTTTCAGTGTTTTAAATATTCGAAAGCAGGAACAAATAAATCTATAGGAACAAACATACCTTCAGATACACCGAGGAATTTTGCATCTTTTAGTACTAAAACTAAATTTGAACACTTATCTAAATGAACAAAAATTTGTTTTCAAAACTTTCTATTATCTGTATCAAAATATAATGCAGTCCGATGTTTTTTGAATAACTTTTGAACGAAAGGCGATAGAGATCTGCGATTTTTAGATTCTGAAACTAGACACTTTGCGACGTAAATCTACGAGAAAATCAGGGCTTTCGATCAGGTTTACCATGGTGTACCATTCGAGGCAAAATCCGACAGCTTACCGTTCTCAAACCACACTACAACATCCAATCTCAAATGGTACCAGTCGATAGCCAAAACATTTCTCTTCAAAACTACGCAAGGTTCAGATCGTCATCTCCTTTGGTTCCGAATATATAGACGTTTTCCGAGGACACATCTATCTCGTTCCAGACACAGAATCTCAGAAACATGTGGATCATAAGTAATCAACCACGCTGATCATCGTGGCGATGTTTGTTTCATTTTCCACTCAAGCACAGCTTCAGAAAAGCCAATTTAGTGAAAACTCTCTTGACCAAGCTTAGCCTGAGAAAAAAGCATTGCAAAGGCCGGCAGTTTAATATGAACTGCCCGTAACAATAAAAATCAGTCAGAGTTGAAAAAATGTGAACTGAAATTTCCTCTGCAGTGGAATATTGAGGGAGCTGGAAGGTCAGTAGAGTTTTACTAATCTAAAAGACTCCCAAAAATCTTCCGGTTTTCTGTTTTGTCGATCCAAAAACTAAGATTATTCGGTATTTTAGCTAATAAATCAGCATCAATCGTAACTTTTTAATTCATTAAGAAAATGATAAAAAAAATGCACATGAAGAAGAATAAGAACTCTCTTTCTGTACATTGATTTTTACTGCTGTAATAGTACAAGAATTATTTATATACTTGAAAACCTCAATTTATCACTGAGTTCAACAGAAAAGTATTACAGCAACCGTTTTCAATCAAAACTTGAGACGTTTCTTTTATTGTTATCCAGCGAAAGCCTCTCAACAATCAGACACTTTACAACTGCATGTTTCCAATCAGACACTGTTCTGTACATTTGTAATTCCATTACTTCCTGAAGGAAGCAGAATAGGAAGATTTCTTTTTTATCATTCGATAGTTCTAAGTCTCATTCCTATTTCTTGTTAATAGTTGATTTTTATCTCAAATTCTTCTATCAAAAGATAGAAGTTCTTTGACTTTCATCTGTTTTTATCGCTTAATAAGTGTTCGCACGGTCACTTTTCACTTCTATTTGGATATTTATC